TAGAGCAGCGGCGTATCTAGCCGAAGGTCGTGGGTTCGAATCCCTCTCGTGCCATTAACTTTTTTTCATCTCAACTAAAAACCTTAATTAATTGCTACATATTGTCCTTTTTAAAAAGATAGTTCCTACTTACAGTAAGTTCTTTTGCAAAAATCCGGGTTTCGAGCACTTAAGCTTAAGCGGATCGTTGCAAATCAACTTACTGTGAGTAGGAACTATCTTTTTAAAAAGGATTGAACACCGCACTCACTCCATCATTCATCATTTCCATACTATATTATATAGATTTAGAAGATAATTGTACACATAAATTGATATGATGTGAATATTTACTCCTACAATCCTGACAAATTTTGTATGTATAGAAAAAATTATCAAATTATTATTATTTTTTTAAAGCGATGTTTATCTATTTAACATCTTTTATTTTAGTATTCTGCAAAATTAACTAAATGTTTAGAATATTTTACAAAAAAAAAAAAAAAAAATATATATATATAAAAATAAAAAACTGATTGGTCCTGGAACCAAATACTCAAAACCCATGGGAAATACACCAGTATCTTCCAAGCCTGAATCCATGTAAGAGATGTACCTAATTCACTATGAATAAAGGTTACAAAAACAAGAATATAGCTATCATGTCAGACAGCCAAGCAGCCATCAAAGCGCTAAGTTCAAAACCTCAAGATTAGGTGATCAATTATCTCGAAGATGGTGCTGAATCGCAAAACTAAACAAATTAGTTATGCAAAACAAGTTAGCCTCTGCTGGCCCAGGACATGCGGGAGTACAAGACAATGATGTACTTGCAAGAAGAGGGTCTGCTAATAGGACCCTTCTGTGGCATAGGAATCCACAATTCTTAATATACCTCAGTTAGAAGGACAAAAAGAAAACGATGGAACCATGGAACTCATTCATTGGACAGAAACAATCCAAGAACAGCCTAATAAACTTTGGAAGGAAAGAGGTATAATGGAATGCATTAAAGGAAGTAGGAAATAATTGTGAATTCTAACAGGATTCTTAACAGGACACTGCAAACTAAATGGACCTCTGAAGACGAAGATAACCCAACATAGCAAGTGCAGATTTTGCAAAGAAGAGGAAACACCAACACACCTACTAACAAACTGTAGTGCTCTTGCATGCAGCATGAAGTGTTTTGGAACGTACAACCGTAGAAGAGATTCAACAACTGAAGCAGTGCCTACTAATCAAGTTCCTTGATGTACTATGACTCACCTATGCTATAAGCACAGAACATGGGATGAAAAAGAAGATGTAGAAAGGGTACATACATATATATGTACCACCACAATCAACCAGCACCATCCGGTATACATACTCAGAAGTACTAATTGACAATTGTTGAACAAATTCCTCCTCAAATTGGTTTTAGATGTATTATTAATATCTACACTGTAGGGTAGTATATTGACCAGAGCCATCATCCTGCATGTGGACGAGCGGAAAGTGTAGTCGGTACGAGAAAATTAATGGTATAATACAGTTATAAACAATATTTTTGAAATGAACAACAAAATAAGTGTCCGGTTTTTGGCTTTGAGTATATTAAAAAAAAAAACAAAAAAAACTAATAGTTATGACGTAATTTAGCCAGGGCTATTATTCAATACAAGGCACACACTCAAACATCGGTTTTATTAAATTCATTATATTTAATCAACACAGCTGCATAATTTAAACATTAAACAATAAAGTAGATTAAAATCAAAATAAGAAACCCCCTTCACAACGGTGAATATATAATTCGTCTTAATACGGGAAGACAAAAGGCCGCCAAATCAAAGATTTTGTCGTTTAACCATATCAATTTACTACACAATGAAAAATTATTGTAAAAAATGTAATTAAATAAACAGAGTGATAAATAGAAAAAGTGGCTCAGCAACTTTATCGCCCAAAAAAGTCAGAATTGCATCATGCAAGATTTCTCATCCAATCTTAAGATTTATGTTATTTCGCATAACATGTTATAAACGCGAAGAATTTGAGCGTGCAGCTACCTTAATAACCTTAATCAGATTTGATAATTCACAAAATAAAAAAAAGCCGTACTCACTTTGTGTTTGATTTGGATTTCTATCTATACTAAAACTGTATAAAGCTCTACCTAATTTAACATCACAGCACTTATGTAAAAACCTCAAATGTGTCATATTCGATAAATTGATTCCGTTACAATTTCCATATCTGTACCAAAAATATATTTTGTACAGCGGCCTCGTGGTGGTCATGTTACAGCGGTGGAAGGTTAGCCTCATGGCCCATCGGAGACTGATCGCTGATGTCCGATTGCGAGAGGAACCTCGCGTCTCGTTGTCTGTTCGGCAGGGCGACAAACGCCTCTTGACATCTAGTTATCATTCATCGAGGCATTTCTAGGTTTTGCCATTTTAACTCTTACCTCTCTCTCAGAATATCGTTTTTCCGAACTCCAAACGGTTCACCACTGAATGAAGAAATGTTTTTGGATATATCAGCAAAATGGAAGAAGTTGACAAAATAATAATTCACTCTTTGAAGGACATCGGCTGGTAAATCCTTTATATCTCTATTCCTAGTTATAGTCCAAAATGTTATTCCAAGATTCAAACCTTAATTGGATATTTAAAAAATACGTATATACACACATACACTGATGGACAAAATTAACGCACCACCCTTATATTTTAATATATTTATGTTTTATATTCATATTTTCCATACCAAAGACAGGTTTGGTTGTAAAAATAAGACATTTAAAAAAAAAGTTTATTAGCTGATTGTAAATTTAAAAAAGTCCATTAAACATTTATGCATTCTTTGGAAAAGATTTCTGGTAAAATCCTGATGAATTCTTTCATATTCATCGTGTGTTCGATTTGGTTCAAACCTGGAGTTCAAGCTGCCACACCAAACACTCAATTCCAACCTCATTCAGGTAGCCATCGGCTTTAGGTCGAGATTAGCTTGAATGTGTGGTATATAGTGATTGTTAGTCAATGATTATTCGGAGATCGTGAGATGCGGGTCTGGTGTGACATAGGTTTTAGAAGAACACTTTCTTTATTGTGCCAATGTTTCGATCTTTATTGAGATAATCTTCAGGGTTCAAAGTGTTTGTTTTCCGTGTAGATTTGTCATTCTTGTCTGTCATGTTGAGAGTGCCCAAGTGTTGAGGGTCATCTAAGCGCCAGCATTGTGCTACTTTTTGTGCAAATTGGATTAATCAGTAAATGAAGTAATGATAGCATTTTTTATTTTGTCTATGATGGCTAGACAAAAGCCTGTAACTAATGTAGACAGATAATGGATTTAATTTTAGAGTAAATAAGAATAAATTGAGTGGTGGATTAAATATGTCCATCAGTGTATTTGTAATAACAGGAAAATGCATATTTGTGACCCCTTCACCAATATGATGTTATATTTTAAAAATAACGTACCCCAAACTTATTCTCATCTGTTGGAAAAAAGCCCCATTCCTGGTATTTTTCTATAATAATTGTTACTTTATTCTAAAGCTCTACTTAAAAATAATACCACAAATGTTCAAAATTGTTAGAGTTCAGAAAATATTAAAAATATTTCTCTTTTACCTTATTTTTGCTTTAGTTGTAGCCTATACATGTACATATTAATAACAAATGTGATCACAGTTGTTTTTTTTTGCACACGGTCACATCATTAGAGCTGCTCTCCAGATGATACATGCCACGAGGAATTGCTGTGTAAGGGATTAAGGGGACAAGGAGATCTCGAGGCAATCATTAAGGTGGCATGTTACTAGGGTTGGGAATTTGTAGAGAGGGCTCAAGCAGTATGGTTAGGGTGGATCTTGATTGGTTTAGTGTGAAACTTTTAAAATTGGATCAGTTCATTGACAAAATGTATGTTGAGGTTGTTGGAAAATGACTAAGTTAGTGTAGTACTAAGGAGCTTTGACTATTTGTCTGAGGACTTCTGATACAAAGGATTGGGTGTGCTGGATCCAGTTGGATGCCTTGGCAGAACCCACGATTCCAATTCATGTGTCCAAAGTGGTCACAATAAAGTCTTGTGTAAGGTTAGTGTTGATGCTCAAGACAGATTTCGGTCCTAGAGTAGTAATCATACAAGTCGTCTGTTAAGATGGGGATTCCACATCAGTCTGATGTCTAGGTACAGTCGTAAGTTATTTGAATGGAAGTCAGTTTCTCTTAAAGCCTATTATTTTTCCATGCCTCCTTAATATGACAAAACTACTTTTAATTCTTACCCAACTTGATTTGATTATAAATGAACTAGCATTTATAACACATTAATCTCCAATATTATTATTATTGTTATATATTCATACATTGCTCAATCAGTGTTAAATACACCAAGCAATAAAATTGAAAACATTTTTAATAATTACTAATAAAATATAGTTTTATTTCTGTTTTAATTTATTGTATATTTTCATGTATAGTAACATTAGTGATGAACATAACAGCCTTGATTCATTTTCTCCAAGCCTGATTGTTGAAGCTGCTGTTACATGTTTGGAAACAATTTCACCTGGTATAGACATACCAAGAGTTTTACCTCAGAATATGGCTGCAAAATTCCAAGTTGGGGCTACCATCGCTTCAGCTTGCAAGGTATTTTTTAACTTTTTTTTTTTTTTTTTTTTGTTTTTAAATATTTTTTTCTAAATGTAGGATTTGGGATACACTGGGGATATCGGATACCAAACTTTCATGTATTCAGATGTTATTGATGTTAGAAGAGTTTTTATGTTTTTGGTTGAAAGGTTGCCGAGGGAAACTGAGAAAATTATAGATGAACCTGCTGGTATAGTCGTGATTTGTAGCAAGTATAAATATTAGATATTTAAGAATCACCTTTTAGATCCTTTGTCAAAGCTGATGGCAGATGTAAGTCGAGTGATTAGAACTAGTCTGTCCAGAAGACTAGAAATAGAAAACGTGAAGAGCATTCCATTTATATCGGTACCACTAGAAATAGGTATGTGTGTTCCAAGATTAAGCAAGAACTCATCTCCACAAGGTAAATAATGAATTTGAAAATGTTAGTATTATATTTCTGTATCAATTACTATTTCAGTGCAAAGGAACCAGATGCCTTTTTTAACTAACCAAACTACAATCCATCATACACTTCCTTCTATTGTTATTTTAAATTCTAAAGGAATTTTAGAACATACAGAAGTTAAAAGATCTACGAGTAACTCGTGTTCTGTAACTCCAAAACCAAGGACTTATAAAAGTCAAAACACGTGGTTGAATATCCAAGAAAATATCATTTTTAGCAACAAGGTAGCAACAATTATAGTGATCAATATGCAATATTAATAACTAAACAAATAAAACATTAATGATAGGAATAGTCAAGTTTAGATATTGTTATAACTGAATTGTATATGTTTTTATATACCTAGATAGTTTTTTAAGAAAGGCTTTTGTTTTATTTGTGGCAAATTTTATTAAAATAGTCAATCATTTTCTAAAAGTAATTTTTCACATAAAATCCAGTTGTGCTATTCAAATTTGGATCAGAACTGATGATGCTATTTATGGTAAAAAAATATTGTTCCAATTTTAGTATATATGTAGGGTGGTACATTTTTGACTCATCAGAAAAACAATGAACCACCTGTTTAAATGGACTATGAAGTAACTTCTCTCTTGCTATGCACATAGTTGTAGTGTATGTCTTTCTTTATACAGAGACTCAGATTGGGAATGACTAATGGGGTTATTGAAGAGGAGCCAATGAGCTCGAAACACATAAAAATAAGAAATATTTATACCACAGAACACTTTTTCACAGGTCTTCTTTTCTCCATCTAAAAAGAGTCTTAGTTGAACCAGCATGTACAGTATGCTGCAATTGGTTTACATTTTGAAAGCATATGAATTTGAAAGTATATGCTTCCATTTCTACCCCTTCCTCCAATTGAAAAACACTAGACATGACCTCTGACCATTTCAAATGTATGATCTTATGACTATAAATTGAATAATAACAATTTTTCAAAAACTAATCAATGGATTTTTATAATAGTTATTTTTAAAATGAATGAGCCAGAAATTTGTTTTCTCTTTTTTAAAAATAAAAAGTAACCTTAATTAGCAGCAAAATGAAAAGTCTGGTAGAAATTAAGATAGAACTATTGGATTCTACATGAGAAATTACTTTTAGAAACCTACAAATATTTGAAAATAATATCATATATCAAAAAATTTCAATTTTAACATCACTTCCTTTACAAAATTGACATATCAGAGCTTAATTACATTTAAAAAAATTTACACCCAGAATTGTTTATTCCAATTCAATCCAAATCCATCTTACTAAGTCAAACAATCAAATGATATCTAGTTTGATCGTTTCTGTTTATGTGTGGTGTTTAGTGACTATTAATTAATGATTATTTGGAGATCGTTTCTGTTTATCCTGGTCTGCCAGGACCCAAATTAATTAATTTTGTCTATACACAGTTAGCAAAATGCTGCAATCCAACTGGCAAAATCAAAGAAAATGAAGAGAATCAAGATGCAATTTAAATTTACATTTATCTCGAAGAGAAAAAAAGCAAAAACACTTAATGTCCATTTGCTAAATTAGTTACTATTACACTATTAATTTTTTACTTATAAATTTAACTACAGTTGTTTCCATTTGATTTACTTTTTTATATTTAAAATTCTTCACATTAAAGTTTTATTATACATATTTAGAAAATTATAATAATTTTGGTTCTAGAGGAAAATAATTCCACTCCCAGCACCCAGAAACATACCCAAATCTTTTGAAGAGAAAGAAGAGATCAAGGATATCGAATTGAAAGAGGAAGAAGAGAAAAACGAAATTGAAAATCTTAAAACAAAAATTGATGACCTTAAAACTACAGTGAAAATGATAAATCTGTCTGTTAAGAATGTATCAAAAGACTGCAATGAGACTGAAGTCAGGTTAAAAGAAGTTGCAAAAGAATATGAAGCTCATAGGATGGCTATTGAACTACTACCCAAATATGAGGATAATTTAAAAAAACTTGAAGAAATAAATGGAATCGCAAAACAAAGACTAGTCACTCTTGCAACACAGTGGGATGGGCACAGAAAACCCCTCGTTCAAAAATACATGGAGTTAAAAATGAAAAGTGTGTGCAGGGCTGTAAGTTGTTAGTAAAGACAGAGCAATCAGTACTTTTATTTACATTTTTACTTTATTTTATTTAGACAGAAAATGATAGGGAAATTGAGGCTATTAAAGACCTTAAGCATAAACTAGATTCTCTCAGCCATCAAATTGCTGTAAAACAGACAATAAGAGCCAAACTTTTAGAAGAATATGAGCAATTACCTAAAAATATCAAAAGGTAAGTATTACACTTACATATATAAATATATAATGGTATAATATGATTATATATNTTAATGTTCCATCCTATTATAAAACTTATATATTTTTTTTAAATTACATCATTGTGACTGTATTTATATAGAAAACGCAAAATGAGAGATCATGATTTTAACTGTAAATGTAATAATTCAGATCGGCATACACAAGGAGAATACTGGAAATTATTGGTAACATAAAAAAGCAAAATGATGAAATTGATAAAATTTTGAGAGACACCAAAGCAATTCAGAAGGAGACCAATATTTTAACAGAACGACTGGATCGACTGTTTACAGTTGTTGATGAATCAATTTTTAGAGTGAGTTGGTATATAACCTATATATCATTAATCTTTAAACAGACATATAATGATCCATTTATTTCAGTCTGCCAAAGATTCAAAAGATGAAATTTCCAAAAAGGCCTACAAACATTTGGCCACACTACAAACAGATTGTGCTGATATTGTGAAAATGGTTAAAGAGACCGGAGTCATTGTTAGAGAAATAAGAGATTTAGAGGAACAAGTATGACTAAATTTTTTTCTCTGTTAGTGTGATATATTTTATTATTGGTTTTTCAGATTGACCTGGAATCAAGCAAGAATGTTGTATCAAATCTTCAAAGAATATCTTCAGATTTGTTGCAAATGAAATCAGAGAATAAAACTTTATTAAACCAATTGAAAGAGTGATATTATTGGCTTGTGAAAGAGTATTGAGAGTAATACGTTTATATTTATACTGAAAACGTTTGCTCATTATAATTATAATAATTATTATTTTTAATAAACACAATAAACATGTATTATTGTAAAATTTTGTTCCAATAATTACAGTTAAAAAGACTGCTTAATGAATTACATTTATTTAAAATTTAATAAGAGTTAACGTGCCACAATCCAATTCTCTACAGTACATGATAAACTGATGATGATGATTACATATATATATTTTGTAATTATACTTTCTTTCTAAGGTCTTAGTTGACATAAAAAAGCTAATGTCATGAGCGGGATTTGAAGTGGTTAAAGTAACGGCATATGAGCTGAAGTCATGGGTTCAAATCCCGTTTATGACCCTAGCTTTTTCATCTCAACCAAGACCTTAGGTAAAAAGTATAATTAATTAAAGAAATTAATACAGACGATTATGAGTGATAAATACATATATGGATTGATATATTAATTTTGCTAACAACTCTCCCTGGCCACTTCATAGTTCGAATCCCACATATGACCCTAGCTTTTTCATCTCAACCAAGACCTTAGGTAAAAAGTATAATTAATTAAAGTAATTAATACTGTCAATTATGAGTGATAAATACATATATGGATTGAGATATTAATTTTGCTAACAACGCTCCCTGGCCACTTCGTAGTTCGAATCCTGCTTGTGACCTAGCTTTTTCGTCTCAACCAAAATCTAAGATAAAAAGTATAATTCATTAAAATGAAGTATTATATTAGTATATATGTTTTAATTGGTCCTAGTTAATCAAAGTAATTGTATAAATTGATTCTTTATGTAAAATGTAGTTGAGATGAACCCACAACATTTGGATCTAAACCCGGGTACTATAACCACTTGAGATATTGTGATTTTTCTAGAAGGATCATATGGACAATTTTTTACCATGTATTGACCGACGTGAACTGAAGAAGAGAAGAATTTCAGAAAAGAGACATTTATATTAGACTGCCATACTAGCACTCTGCACCTCATTAGAAAGGTACATTAAAATAGAGTACTGTGTGGACGAAGGTGTGGTTAAAAGCTAGTTCTAATATACAGGGTGTTTTTTTTAGATGGCCCGGCTGAATTTCTTTTGAACCAATGACACTATAAAAAAAACATACATGATTAATATTTTTAGCCTAGTTTCAAATGTTTACCTTTTGTTGGAAAAAAATTATGCAGGGTATCGCACGCACAGTTCAATTTCAAAACTTCAAATACGACCCTATACATGCTGACATATCATTTTAAAGGATTTTTTACACAGAAAACCATGGTGTAATTGAACTTTAAATTGGCCAAAAAACGATAAAGTTATGTCAAAAAGTTCGAGAAAAAAACCATTTGGTTTGCTATTTATTAATCACATTTCATGTTCGAACTGCCTGCCTAGCGTAAAGATGCAAAAATTTGCACTTTTTAACACTCTTCATCACTGCCCAGAGTGATAAAGACAGGGGAGATGGATTGACAAGCATTTTCTATCCTTTGCCGCAGTTCTTCAACTGAGGTTGCTGACACTTTTTTAATTGTCCCCACAGAAAATAGTAAAGTGGTGGTAAATCAGGTGACTGAGGAGGTCAATAGGCCAATCGGATCGTGAGGTCGTATCCCAGCTATCCCGGAAGTGACGATTGAAAATACGTCTAGCCTGCAAAGAATTGTGTGGGGCATCCAACAAGATGGAGAATCATTCTTTCTCGTTGTTGCAGGGAATAGTGTTGGTAAAACCTCCCTCAAAAATTGAACTGAGCACCATTGAAATTATTTTCATAGAAATAAGGCTCAATAAATTTATTTCCGAGAAGTCCACACCAAACGTTGATACTGTGAACCACCTGGTGATGACAAGAGTACAAAATCCTCTGCTTAAGTTCGAAAATTCCAACGGTTAGTATGCCATTAGAGGTGAAATTGGATTAATCAGTCTATAGGATGTATGGAAGAATGTTTTCGTCAGCTTCCCAAATCGGCAATTGTGCAAGGAACGTTAGACGCCTGTCACAATTAGAGGTCGGAAGTCCCTAGACAAGAAGATATGAGCAATATAGCTTAAAATTGCAAGTCCAGAGTATGAAGGCTAATTTTATTTTTTGAAAAACCTAAAACCCTTCCAACATTTCAGAAAGAGGAATTCGGATTTTCACGAATGTACAGTAAAATATTCAGCTCCACGTCGAAATTATGCTGATAGTTTGTTGGTGATGGAACAGCAATTGATATATTGTGAGCAACGAATAAACAATTTGTGGTTTACTCTGGAGTGATCAGGAAATTTTGGGGAGTACAACACAATGCGCAATTCCACCACTATCAATAAAGCAGCCATACATATCAACTCGCTGTTGATCGGAAAAAGTGCTCCTCGGTTCGTTTTGAATGGAATACTGAAGGTAACGAATAGGTACTATTGTAAAATTTATTTTCTTCCAGGAATTAAGATTTGCTCTCATTGTACGAGTTTGACAAACAATGACAGAATGTAAATAAAGGCAATTAATGTTTACTTTAGTGAAGAAGCAAATTATTGGAATTTTCAACGAAACAAACAAAATGCGTTTTTTCAAACTTGTTGCCTAACTTTGTCATTTTTTGACCAATTTAAAATCTGACTGCACCATTGCTTTTAGCGTAAAAAATCCTTTAAAATAATGTGTCAGGATGTAGAGTCGTATTTCAAATTTTGAAGTTGAATCAGGCCTGAGGTACACTGTATAATATTTTTCTCCAGAAAAAGAGAAAAATTTGACTCTAGACTAAAAATTATTAAACAAGATTTTTTTGTTTTTTGATAGCATCATTAGTTCAAGCGAAGTTCAGACGGGCCATCTAAAAAGTACACACTGTATACTCCAATTAATTCAAACAAATTTTTCTTCAAACAAAGTTACCAAAACTATGAGAAAAAACAACTAATTGTAGGAGGGTCAGACCTGAGTAGGGGGAACCGGAAGTAAAAAGGATTTTATTTATTCCTTTTCTTGTTAAAAGGTGTGGGGAAAATTTTGTGGGAGAAATGAGATTTATCTGAACCTAAATGAACAAAATGTGTGGTTATACCATACCGTAAGACCAAACCGTTTTGCGGGTTTAGCCGATACTTGTAAAGTGAAAAATGAGCGGTAGCGACGATAATGTACAGAATTTTTACTTTCGTAATTTTTTACTCGTTACTTTCCGAGCTACCAAAATCATTTCAGCAAACCACAACTCTATATATATATATATACTGACAGCTAAGAAAATCAAAATCTGAATTGTAAATTATTTATTTACAAAACGTAGACAAATTGTACAGTATTCATATTATCTAAAGAAAAAAATTAATTAATGTAAATAAAATATTTATATATAAGTATGTAGCAAACCAAATCATGAACGACGGTGTTTACTATCATTTAAACAATCAATTGTAATAAATTTTAAAAATAACTCAAAGTACAGTGTATATCATTTTATCGTGATACTTTCGCCATATCACGTCCTAGAAATGTTAACAAACAACAAAAATTTATTTACAGGTTTTTTTGCCTGGCCGAAATGTTACGGTTTTAACGCAAATCACTTCGAAGCGGATAGTCGGGGTGCCACAAAGATGGCACATGATGAGGTAAGGGGAGGAGAGATTATTTTAAACGGCAATCCAAAATAAATAAATAAATTAGAATAGTTAGGTGTTACGAAAACTTCAAATCTTCCTTTAAATCAGGTATGATTATATGAGACAATCGAATATTTAAATGATTGTCGTCATAACCTCTCCTGTGGATATCGGCGAACGGGAGAAAGGGGGTGGCTTGTGCGCCAAGATACTCGTGAAGAGGGGAGCTGCGTCACAGGGAGAAGCTTATTGATTCAGCCTGGTTTTCTCATTGGTTCAGTAGAGCTGACTTGGGACTCCGTCGACGAACACCACTCGTAAGTTCTAACAAATAAAAAGTACTAAAAATTAAGCAACTCTCATTTTAAGCCATACCTATAAATGTATCTTTAACGTGAAACAAAACGAATTTATCGAACTGAATTAAATTATAATTTTAAAATTTATTAAACCTATCGGCACTTTTTGTATTGCCATTTTTTTTATTGACAACTAAAATTCCACTTATTCCAATACCTAATAACCGACAAACTTGATCGATTTTCACAAAAATCGAACTTCTAACACATAATTTTAAAACAATATTACGATGATAATGTTTTCAATGAAAAGAAATCATAAAGTAAACGCTAGAATTTGTGGTTTAATGTGTCTTGAACGAAAGTAAATAGATACAACTGTTGTTGTCTATCGTGTAAATGGCATAAACGGAAGTCGTACAAGATACGGGTAACTTTTATCTCCCTGAGATGACAGCAAAATGAACTACATTTGTAAGTTACTCGTGCCGAACAGTGCTGCCACCTCGAAATGTAATATATTGATTTCTGACACCTAGGACGGGTCAATAGAGGGCCAGTACTGAGTACTGAATAGTGACTTGTAAGCACTGAGTCTGTCCTACTCGATCACATTGACCGATCGAGAATAGCACTTAAGGAAGACGCCCAAATAATCAATTCTACAGGACGATCAAGTTCTAATGAAGGTCGCTGATGTTGAGTGATTATTTTCATTTTGAAAATTAAGCAACATTTCAAGGCAAACGGGATGTTTTATTCCCTTACTCGTCACCTACTATTAATTTGCAGAAAGGATGAAACTGAAAGATAATCTACATTATAGTTTATGTCAAATGGTTTAAATAAATAATTAAGAGAAAAATGTACTAGTCCTTGTCAATGTTTTTATTTCATCATCGGTAATGGACAATGCTATTGTATTATGTTGTAAGAAATAATCCTCTCCTATTTTTGCTTTCGAAGCCTCGTTTCATGCGGGAAGTCGAAAAAAAAATTGTTATCCTCCAAAATCAAAATTTCCAGCAGCATTTTGCGTTTCAGACCTTTCTGAATAAATCAGGTTCCGTGTCTGTCAGTCTGTGGTCAATTACTTGTTACCTGCAAACTGCGAAACTATGAGACCAATTTTTACGGAATTTTAAGAATTGTGCGGGTTGCTTTCTAGACGGTTCCCTTTGAATTTCATCAGAATCGTCTCAACGGTATCGCCTGCGCATGCTCAAACGTAAAATCCTAATCCCGTACACAGCTTTATCTCTGAAACCATTTATCGGATTCTTCTGAAATTTTCAGGAATTATGCGGGTTACTTTCTAGATGATCCCTTATTTATTAGATTCACGCACTAAGCAAATCTAACAAACAAAGCCACTAACCAGAGAGCAAAGTACTTACTTGGTGACAAATCATACCATTTCAGACAAAAAATCACTTAGAGTTAAACATGATTTGTTTGAGAAAATGAAAGTTGTGATACGAGTTGTGATGTAAACAGAATTACTTGTTGCGTGTTCCTGCTAAGGAAGATAATTTAAATCTGTGGCTAGTGAACAATTGTAATCCCCTACTCTCAACAGTATGGGTTCTAAAGTGTTATAATATAATTGTTGTGTTCTTATAATTATTAATATACAGGGTGTATCAATTTCTATAATGCCCCCATTTAATTCTGAAACGATTAACTTTAGCAAAAAATAGTCTTATACAAAGTCAAAATTAATTTTGTCTATGAATTGCGTGGTGGTAACAGATTTAACATAACTTTCTCATCTAGCTGGGAAATGACACTAACTTTGTTATTTAAAAATGAAAACCCGCATTTTTATTGTACAATTCGATTCTAGAGCTTATTTTATGCCACTTTTACTGAAAGGAAAATTGTGATAGCATAGACCATTTATGAGTTATGCCTGACGGAAGACGCGTGAAGGGGTATGTTTTTTTGTAACAATATAGCCCACCTCCTTTTTTTCTAAAACGATTAACTTCAGCAAAAATTATAAAACCTTATAAAACCCAATAACAAAAATTAACTTTCACTTTCTATAAGACCATTTTTTGCTAAAGTTAATAGTTTCGGAAATAAATGGGAAGGACCATCTTGTTCTTATAAAAAGCATACTTCCCTCACGCGTTTTCCGTCGGACATAACTCAGAATTGGTCCACCCTATTAGAATTTTCCTTTCAGTAAAGGTGGCATAAAATAAGCTCTAGAATCGAATTGTACAATAAAAATGCGAGATTCTCATTTAAAATAACAAAGTTAGTGTCATTTCCCAGCTAGATGAGAAAATTCATTATTCAAAAATCGTGAGATGCGGTCTGGTGTGAGGTAGGTTTCAGAAAAACATTTTCTTTGTCGTGCCACGTTTCGATCTTTATTGAAATTAAATTCACTAATTTCGTTGTCCGCTTGACCAATTAATACATTACAATTAATTAAGGTTTTTAGTTGAGATGAAAACCTTAATTAATTGTACTTTATTGAAATCATCTTCAGGGCTCAAAGTATTTGTCTTCTGTGTAATTGTGCCATTCTTGCGTGTCGTGTTGAGAGTGCCCTCTTTTTACACAAATACACAGAAGGCAAACGCTTTGAGCCCTGAAGATATCTTAAAGATCGAAACGTTGGCACGATAAAGAAAATGTTTTTCTGAAACCTACATCACACCAGACCGCATCTCACGATTTCTGGATAATTATCGATTAACGGTCACTAATCACCATATTAGATGAGAAAGTTATGTTAAATTTGTTACCATCACGCGATTCTTAGATAAGATTAATTTTGTCTTTGTATAACTCCATTTTTTGCTAAAGTTAATTGTTTCAGAATGGGGGATTATAGAAATAGATACACCCTGTATATTAATAATTATAAGAACACAACAATTATATTATAACACTTTAGAACCCATACTGTTTAGAGCAGGAGATTACAATTGTTCACTAGCCACAGATTTAAATTATCTTCCTTAGCAGGAACAACCAACAAGTAATTCTGTTTGACTTTCATTTTCTCAAACAATTCATGTTTAACTCTAAGTGATTTTTTGTCTGAAATGGTATGATTTGTCACCAAGTAAGTATATTTTGCTTACTTACTCAGTTAGTGGCTTTGCTTGTTAGATTTGCTCAGTGCCTGAATCTAATTCATAAGGGATCATCTAGAAAGTAACACACATAATTACTGAAAATTTCATAAGAATCCAACAATGGCCCTGCATTCAAACCCAACATACTTACCAATGGGCCTATTATGAAGAACACTGGCAGCCCGAATGTTCATATAACCTCTTAGTTGAAATAGCCCTGTAAAATTATATATATANTATATATATACTACATCTTATTGAACTTACTCAAACCTGTGAAAGTCGGTTTTTGCTTTTGTTTTTTCAGACACCCAAACAACATCAGAGCAATGGAAGGGGCTGCTATACACCTTAGACGAAGAAAAACTCTCACAGAAGTGCATTTCAGTCATAAAAATGAAACATAACTATAAATTAATAACAAAATGGACAATTATTTGATATTTTGTGAAATGTTTTAGTTAAATTTCTGCATTTTTGTAAATTATGGATATACAGAAAAAGTTTCTATGTCCCCGTTTAGTAGATTATTTAGCAATAGTTGGTGGTCGTCCTTCATCTCCTAGGAATGCAAATAATGCCTCCCCTGCAGTCCAGGTAAGTAACTTATTTATCAGCTGAGATTTATACATAATAACACAAACACAGGTTCCTGAATTGCTGCGTCGATACCCTGCTGAAGATCACAAAGACTTTCCCCTTCCACTTGACATGGTTTATTTTTGTCAACCAGAGGGATGTGTCTCTGTCGGTCCTAAGCGAACTGCATTGCGAGATGCTACTTCTTTTGTTTTTACACTCACCGAGAAAGATTCAGGTAAACGATGAATGAAGTGAGGAAATATTAAAAATGTTTATTCTAAATTTGCTTTTAAAGGAAAGTGTCGCTATGGGATCTGTGTTAATTTCTATAGACCGATTGATCGACCTGGAGCTGGTACCTCTCAAAGAAGAGACATGCACCTACGAAGAGAATCATGGAGAAAAAGCATGGAAAAGAGTTCAGATTCTGCATTTTCAAGGTACAGTTAAGAAAATTCATTATATCAATAAGGGTATCAATTCAATGCCGTACTATCAATGTAGTGACTACAAAAGCAACTTAGCACCAAGTGATTCAGACCGGGATTGTCCTAGCAGGAGAGACTCAGAACCCTCCCATCCGATAAACAGGCTTGCACCAATACAATGTGATAGCGAAAGTGGAGGTTCACATAGCCCAAGCCCAAGGGCCAGTAGGAAGCGACAGGTATTTTTTACTATTGAACTCAAAAATATACAAAATAAAACATCAAAACTGTATTATTTAATTATTTATTTAATTTTATAGAGACTGAGGAATCATTCTTTGACATCTCTTTGCCTCCTGACCCACCATCCTTTTTTTTCAATATTCAGAGAATGCCTTTTCATATTGAAAAGACTTATTGATGCATGCAATGATAATTCGTCACCAAGGAGAGTAGGAGCTTCAAGGCAGATTAATAGGTTAGTAGAATACACAGTGTTGAAATTCATCTCTTAAAAGGGTAATAAGAAAGGGGGAATCTATTTCACTACCCTATAAGAGATGATATCATATGGTAATAATATTGCTCTTTAGCTTCAAATGCTCTTATCCCAGTGTCTGGGGTGTATTGACTGGCAAAGGTATCATTGACTCTACTGCATCAGTTGTCTTGCACGATGTGAGGGAGATAGAAACATGGATTCTCCGTCTGCTAAGTGCTCCGGTACCAGTCCCAGGGAAAACTAGAGTTGAGGTAATTTGTTTTTATGTAAGAATACATATACAGATAATAATATTTTTTAAATATTGTTTATAGGTTGAAGTACTGTCACCACATCTTCATCCACCACTCAACTTTGCTCTTCCAGATCACACAAGGTTTTCACTGGTAGACTTTCCCCTCCATCTACCTTTAGAATTGTTAGGGGTGGATACATGCCTTAATGTCCTTTCTTTAATTTTGTTAGAACATAAGGTATTAGAAATAAAATTACAATATTAGTTAACAAAAATTGTTAATTTTTATTTTTTTACAGTTAGTATTACAATCCCGTGATTACAATGCTCTATCCATGTCTGTGATGGCTTTTGTAACATTGATATATCCTCTTGAATACATGTTTCCTGTGATACCACTATTGCCTACATGCATGAGCTGCGCTGAACAGGTTTTATTTTTTGTTTTTGTTTTTCTAAAGTTAATATTTCTTTATGCCCAGTCATCTTTTTTTACCTTTTTTGATTATGTGTTACTCAAATTGGAATATGGTCAAGTCAAAAGGAAAAATGCCAAATGCTTTACTCTTTATGTTTATTAACTTGACAATGATGATACTTGATGATAAAACTATGTATATTGTAGAAAATATACTTTTTACATATGTAGAACTGAATAGATCAATAATTTTTAAAAATTCGAATTAAACATGATTGGGCTTAATATTTTTTGAATATGTAGAAGTGTTTGATTATTATTTCATATTACAAATAAACATTAATTCATAGTTGTACCATGTTTTCCATGATGATTTTCATAAATTATAAGATTATCTATTTTCTTTGGTTAATCATATTAATTTCAAAAATTTATGTTTAATTTAATTTTTTCAGCTATTGCTTGCACCGACTCCTTTTGTCATTGGGATTCCAGCAAGTTTCCTTATGTTCAAAAAAAATTTTAAGTAAGATATTAATTATTGGTATTAAAACTAAAATTACTGATTTGATTAAAAATCAATGGAAAATCATTTTAAAAAACTTTGCAAGAGTTCTTTGCTTTTTGACTGTTTCTTAAGAGTTATTAAGCAAGAGATATAAATTGTCTTCTTTAATTTTCAGATTGCCGGATGATGTCTGGTTGGTTGATTTGGATAGCAATAAAATAACACCACCTTCATGCCCAACGGAAGACGTACCTCCATTGCCAGAACCTGAGGGAAATATTCTGAAGAATCATTTAAAACAAGTAACTTCATACATTGTTAAAGAGTTTGCGACTATCTGCAATAGATAAAACAATTAATCAAATTTAAATAAAAGTTCTATCTTTAAAATTGATAAAATAAATCATACTTATTACTTATTATTTTTTTATTGTATATTTTCAGGCATTGAGTAGCCTTTGTGGTCCTTCGCCAATGCCCTCAACAGGACTTCACACCCATCCAAATACAACTCCTAGGGAGCTGGGAAACATGCTCAGAAGAGAAAGTATGAACCCCATACTTCAGCTCCCTCAATACCAACAAGTTAATTTAGGGTATGTAAAGGTATAAATTATGTTTCCAGAAATGTTGGATGAATTTTTGGTAATGAAAAATATTTCATCAGGTACAGTCCAATGCAAAAAGGTGATGTACCACTTCATCAAAACTACCACCACCAGATTCCAACACCCCAAAGTTTCAATCCATTTATTTATGGAAATGATGTAGATTCTGTCGATGTTGCAACTAGGGTTGCCATGGTACGGTTCTTTAATTCTCAGAATTTGCTGGTAAATTTCACAGAGCATACAAGGACATTGAGACTATACCCGAGACCAGTTGTGGCTCTGCAAATAAACAGCTTCTTAAGATCAAGACCTAGAATCTCTGCTTTTCTACAAAAGTTTGCTAGGACTCAGGTACAGTAACTTAAATTTAGTTTCCACTATTATTATAAATATGGAGTAGATATTCAAGTGATAATTTATAATTTTTTTAACTTATAAGTTATAAATATAATATTTTAAGTGGTAATTGACGAGAATATCAAACCTCAAGAAAGATCCAGGTGAGGTCTTCATGGGGTTCATTATGACATTTTTGTGCCTTAAGTCATGATGTTTCAGCATCTTCATGAGCACTAGTTTTTGTTATACACATTTTTATTGATATACACAAAAATGCAAATTTTACATTATTATTTTGAAAGAAATGCATAAAAAATACAAGGTTTGCATTTATTTTTTCCTCAGGCCGTGGAATTTCTTGCAGAGTGGTCATTGACTCCTAGTAATGTTGCCTTCCTAAGAGTTCAAACTGGAGTATGTGATCCAGCACAAATAGGAGATAAATCAAAATGGTTTAATCACACTTTAGAACCCATACTGTTTAGAGTATGGGATGATAATAGTTCACTAGCCACAGCTTTAAATTATCTTCCTCAGCAGGAACAACCAACAGGTAAATTCTGTTTCATTTTCATTTCTCAAAAAAAAATCATGTTTAATGTAATAATTTTAGATGAGAGTGGATCTGATTCTGAAGGAGCAGACAGTTCAAGCTCTTCATATTCATCTCTAAGTGATTTTGTATCTGAAATGGTATCTTCTGATTTGTCACCAAGTAAGTATTTTGCTATCTGGTTAGTGGCTTTGCTTGTTAGATTTGCTTAGTGCCTGAATCTAATCTTAGGTTTTGTGATGGCAGACACTGGAGCTGTAGGTCTCTCAAGCAGTGTTGAAATACAAGCTGTCTATCACCCACCCTCCACACTACAACTTCCTGGAGAAACAGCTGGTGAATCATCCCCTTCCCATTCGAGGTCTCCTGCTTCTCAAAGATCATCATCAGAATCATCCAGTGATGACAGTGAAGGCAGTGAGCAAGAAATTAATGTAAGCCTTTTCTCTCTTAGTGTTACTTTCATTACTTTATTTTCGTCACTTTAAAAAAGCACACAACTGCACAAACACTCATTCACATAAGCACTTTTATTAGGAGAAGGACAAAAGTATAGGTCGTGAAGTAGAGCGAACTACGCCAACCTCAGGAGAGCAAACTGAAATTCATGGTAGAAGGCTTGTAAAGTCTACACCAGTAAGCCATTTTTTATTTTAAATAATTGTATATATGTATATATAAATTAAGTAAATCCTAAAATAAGATTTTCTGTCTAATCCTTTATTTGCTTTTCAGTCTCAATGTAGTTCCGGAGGAAGCCCACAAAGGAAATCTAGCCTGACTGGTCTTATAGGTAGAGCAAGTAGTTTTGGATCAAGCCCACCATTGTCACACCAGGGGTCTATACTTGAAACTTTTACAAGTCATGCAAAGGAGCTTGTACGGGAAACAAAAAGACAAAGTAGTCAAGAGGGCCTTTTAGCTCACGTAGATAAGGTAGTAATTTTGATACTTTTTTATTATTTAAAAAAAATTCAATTTTTGACTGTGAAGTGGGTCATATTGATTGAATAGCTGTATAATTACAAAAAAAAAATCCTTCTTAAAGATGGCTGGACTAGGGAATTGTAACATATATGGTGTGAATTTTTAAAATACATGGCTTTTTATTGGTATATGGAAATTTGGTGTGAACTACACTGATTTCTGAGAGACATGAGAGGCTAACAACTTTTGTGAAATTGTCTTTAGTCTGAGTGTGATTCCAAAAGGTTCTCTTTTTAATTATTATTATTATTATTGAATTGTCTCTTTGCATAGTTGGGAATTGTAGTTCTTTGTTTATCTAGTTGTTCCTTATGCATTTATTGCTATTCGTGCTATTTTATTTTATAATACTTGCAGCCGCTTTATTTTGGATGAAGAAACTGCTCGCCATATTTCACACCCATAAAGGACCAAGGGCCTTATGATAGTTTAATAAATTTGCATATTGAGTTTGAACCTTAACTTGGATTTTCGGCTTGTAATAGAATGTAGCATACCCAGACGAGCATATCCTTCGGCCACCTTTTTATTTATGTGGTACTTCCAGGATAGCCTTCTGTACAAATGAACTCCTAGGTACTTCACAGAGCTGTCAGGAGGATTCCATAAGATATCATTTCCTTCAATTTGTCTTTTAAAACAGGAGTATTAACTAAAAGTAAAAATGAAAGGGTATGATTAAAAATGGTTGTCAATTTAAGACATCAACAAGAGTAAAGTGCATGCTTACATTTTTTTTTTGTTGTCCCAAAATTAGTATCAACTTATGGGCATAAGAGGATTTTGGACTGAAGTTAAATTCACGAGCCCTTGCTTCATTCAAATTCAAGAGAAATTTGACTTGCATCATAGAAAAAAAGATCATTTTTACTCTTTCATTTAATGACTTTTAATTACTCAGTGTTATTGGCACATTAAAATAAAAAATGTAAAAAAATAAAATAATTAACAACTGACCATGACCAATGTGGCCTTGTTCAGTAATTTTAAATTGAAATTACAAAAAACGAAATTTGTTGGTTATAAAGATTATTAACATTCACTCTATGCTGCAAACACTATTAAAACAATGTATTATTTGATTACTACAACTCTACTAAACGAATGCTTCTATTAATCCATGCTATTGTAAACAATAACTAGTTACATAATAAGTTGAAATTATCAAGTTCTGAAGGAAAACTCCAATATCTACAGAGCAAATCAATGAGTGCAGATAATACATGAGAAATTACCTTTGAACAATACTTAGTTTTACAGTAAACTAGGCCATGGGAAAATAAAAGCCTTTTATACAAACTGACATAGGATAATATAATAATATATTTATTTATGTTTTAATATTTTTATATTGAATTTTTTTTCAGTTAACCATCCATGCAAAAAAAGCAGCTGGAGAGGCACACAAAACTGCCCTTGAAGCCAGTAAACAAGCAGCAGGTGTTAGCAAAAATACATTTGAAGATCTTACTTATGTTGGGAAAAGTACATTGGGAGATGTAACAAAAAGTGTCAAACAAGTTGCTTCAAAGAAAGGATTGCTTAAGGTAAGAAACAAGTTAAGAAATTGTGTTTTTAATATATTCAACAACAATTAACAATTATTATAAAACATGTAAAAAAACTTTTTGATTTATTTATTTCAGTTTGTATTTAAACAAAGATTTATATTTTATTTTGCAATTAAATTTATGTCCAGGCTCTTGGAGAATCAAGCGATTCCTTAACATCACCACCAACAACTCCAGGATCTCAGTCTACGACTCTTGCTCAGCCAGATTTAAGTAGGACAGCTGGACGTGACTTTTTCTCAAATATTACCAGTGATATCAATGGATTGGCAGCTCAGACTACTAGCATGTTCAGTGATTTTTTTGGTACTGGAATCGTACCATTAATATTTTACTTGTAATAATTTTTAATTATTTTATTTCCAGGGAATAAAAATCCTCGAAATACTAATGTGAAAACTCAGTCTGTAACAGCTCAACCAAAAGAAAAAACACAGATGTTTGGGCCTTTCCCAAAAGGTAGGTAATATAGTGAACATTTTTGTTTTATTATGTTAGATTGAAATAAAAAATAATCTTTTTTTTTAATTTCTGTTTAAAGAGAATTGTAATTTGGAATTTCAGGTGGCAGAAAAGGATTTACAGACCGTCCAAGTTTAATCAGACATGTTAGTGTGCAAGGCAGAAGAGAAGATTTGCAAAGGCAGTCTACAGTTGAACGAAACATCAGCAATGATGAAAACCAAGCATTCCTTAAACAGGTAGCTAATTTAAATGAAAAAAAAAAAAAAAGAAACAAGAATATATATAATTTATATACAGGGTGTCTCTATTGCAATGTCACACCCTCTTTTCTCAGAAAAAAAGTTTAAATGATTACCCCATAGTTTTTCCAAAGGAATTAAATTAGATGGTCTAAACATTTTTTATGTCAGAATATTAGTATAAATTTTATTTTTATCAAATGAGATCTACCGTTTCGATACATTTTCCAACATTAGATTTATTAATATAAAAAATGACACCAAGAACTAAGAAGAAGAATTAAATTAGTTGCGTATTTCTGGAGATATTTTAATACTGTGTGGGAATTTAGATTTTTTAACTTTATTAAAATAAAAACTTTTTAACATTTTTTTTCTATATCCCTTCATTTTCAAGAAACGTGGGTGTACCATTAAAATAGAGTCACCTTGTATTTATTTGTTTCTTTCTTTTTTTCATATTTATGATATGCAATTTAGATTTTATTCAAAATGAGCTTAACAGTCAACTACTGATGTCTAGGATTAAATATATGGAAGAAAATACTGTGGGAATAGAGTCCATGACCACATGGTCTATGACACACTGAGAGGTTGATGCCCTAACCCTTAACAAAAATAAATCAATTAATAATTTGTTGGAGTCGTAAGGAGCGGTTAATAATGAGATAGTTTAGAAAAACACCTTTTTCATTTTTTTGCCAACGTTTCTAGAAATGGTTTACATTAACATAGGCACACACAGCATTAATTATAGAACAGATACATGCAGACTCAGCTATAGCCAATATCATAAAGCAAATAAATGATTAAACTTTATTTTTATATTTTTTATTCTGCTTTTTCGGTTGTTATCTTTTTGTATTTCTTGGGTTTCTTTTCAGGAACTAGACAACTCACAAACTCATTTCCTTCTTATTAATGCCTCCAAACCCGATATTAATAAAATGAAAATGAGTTTGATAGTTGTTTATTTTTAAATATCCCTTTCCTTTGTTATCGTCTTTAACCATTTGAATAACCCCTAATCACAAATCCAATCGAGAAAATCCCCATTCTCGACTTCTTTTGAGTTAAATAAAACTGCCTATGATCAAAGAAAATTTCTCAGATTTACTGCATCTACCACCCTGCCACAATCATACAAAAACAGCAGAATACAAATTCACGTTTCACAACTGTTCACTAAATCAACACATAAATTAATTATCTAAGCCACATTTAAATGGGTTCGACTCCTAGTCTTGAAATTTTCTATGAATAATATTTGAGTGTAAGAGGTCTGATCCCTTGTCTTGATACCCAATGTATAATTGTATGTATAACATAATGCCTATTTGTATGATTTTTTTCTGAATGAATGATATCAGAAGATATCATTCTAAAATATTTTGACTCATCAAAGTTATACTGTATTTTCATTTTTTTTTTCTATAGATTATCAACCAAGTTCTTGAAGGCGAAGGAGTTGGCTGGCTAAAACTCAATAGGCTGAAAAAGCTCATGGAGGATGAAAACTATAGAACATTTGTTGTAACAAAACTCAATAAAACTTTAGATAAAAAAATAAGCCCAACCGACCACATCGATGATGTTGTCAGTAATACACAATCATTCCACACACAAAATTTAAAATAGTCAAAATTATTATTGTTGTTGTTTGTTTGTTTTAGTGTGTTACTCGGTCGGTTTGGAAAGGAATGTTAAAAGTAATACAAGCTGTTGTTTATGGTCTAGAAGTCACCTATGCAAATTATGGATTAGGTGGCATGGCTTCAGTGTTTCAAGTATTGGAAATTGCTCATACCCACTATTGGACAAAAGATCTTACTGATCCAAGTGGCCTAGATTCTAACATTTTGTCACAAGTTAGTATAGAGCATTAATTACAGTCTTATATCCATGAGTTTTTTTTCCACAACTTTGAATATATTTCAGACACCTAGTCCTTATGGAAGCAGAGAAAACTTAAATTCCCCAATGAGCCCTTCTAGCTCCCCAATACCTTCAGCCCACACGTCTCGCAAATCCAGCCAAACTGGTGCATGTCGTAAGTATTAGTTAACAAATTTCTTTTATGAAACTAATTCTTATGATACACAGCTGAAAGTGTGACTACGTCTCATCCACCTTCTCTTCGGCTTATACAAGATTCATTAGATGCAAGTTCTGAACTCCCTCAACAATCTACAACAGAAATGTTTAGAGAGATGTTTAACCAAAAACGCCAAATGCTCTTTTCTAAATTGTCTTCTATAGATAATGAGGTAAGTTTTGAAGTTATTGTTTTGATGCATGAAGTGGCTTAATCAGCATTAATCTACATGATATGCTTTCAAACGTGTGCATAAGTAGAAGATGCATGAACTGTTTGTACTGTTAGAAGAGGAAAACATTAGTGATAATACAAGTCATTATGTACCGATTATTAACATTAAATTAAAAATATATTAAAACTTTTGTAAAAGGTGGTTCTACTCATAGATTTAGTCAATTCCAAGATTTGTAATTTATTTAAATCTGTGAGTAGAACCACCTTTTCAAAAGTGAATCTATATAGTCACCCCACCTTCATCATTTCATATATTACAACTGTTTCCAGTTGTTACAATTATTTTAGTATCTATGAGTAAGTTATATATTTATTAGTTTTTAGCTTAATTCTTTTTTTTTTCTTCAAAAAGACCAATAAATTGTAATATATATTTATGACAGGACTTGTTTTTTAGATTTTATAAATTATCGACAAAATTTTCAGTGTTTTTTAATTATAAGTAAAACAGTTTCTTAAAAAGAAAAAAGTTACTTTATTTATTTATTTTTAGCATATCCTATTTGTAGATAGATAGAACAGTATAAATAAATCCTAAGAAATAAAGAAAATACAAAACAATTTAAAAAATACAAAAGCATTTGCCTCCAATATATGTTTAAATAAAAATCCAAACCATTATTGTTACTGAGTTGGCAATTTCATAATGACAAATTCAATTTTTAACTTAATTGTCATTCATTAATTTTTGGTAAATTTGTGATTTAGTGGTGGTTGTTTGATAATGTGTTGAAATCAAGAGGAGTGGTCAGGAATGAAGTATTTTAGATTTTTTTTTCTTTTTTTTTAACGTTTTGACTTTTATTCGGGTTATCTTCAGTACCTAGGTGAATTACGGGGGACCGCGGTAGCCGAGTGGTTAGCATGAGAGACTCTCACGCCGCGGTCGTGGGTTCGATTCCCACCGTTGCCCCTGGCCCTTTTTTCCCAATAACCCCCCAAANAAAAAAAAAAAAAAAAAAAAAAAAATAGGTGAATTACAAAACATGTGTTCATTGAAAAAGTACAATACAGATGTAAATATAAATTTTGAACCAAGTATTTCACCATACCTGTCACAATCATATAAAGATAACAGAATACAAGTCATGTTCACAACATTTTCATACAAATCAAATATGGCACAAGAATAGCACCACACTTTTTTGAGTATGAAAATGGGGGTTGAAATACCCAGGTCCTGAAAATGAACTTCGGCAAAAAAATGAAAGAGGTGTTTTTCTAAAATACTTCATTCCTGACCCTTGCTCACGACTTCAACAAATAATATAATAACTCGTTCATACATATTTGATATATTTGTAAAGAAAGAGATTGAAAGATTTTGACTAAAGTTGGGACAAGCTAATGTTACACGCATGTACCAAAAAATGCTAATTGTACAAGGATAGTGAATTTGATAGAAAATGAAGGGATATGACAGGAAAAAGTAAATAATTATGGCGATTTAAAAATATTTTTCAGTTATTCCACTAAAACACTTATTGAATATTAAATAAAATTCTTATGGGTGACGGTGAGAATCGAACCCACAACCACGGCAGGTTTATTACTAGCCGATATAATTAAATTAAATCTAACTAAACCCTTAGTTTAGTCAATTTTTTAGAATTAAGAAACAAAACTTTTGAATTTAGAAATGTATGAATAGTGATCTGAATAATAACAGGGTCAATAGTGGGTTGGACCAAATGTAGTAATTTAGTGTATTCAAAATTTCTGTAACTCTTAATAATCACTACACCCTTGTTTATCTTGTACAGAACATTTCACTTTCACAATTTTCTCATTTCGCTTTAACAATATTAATAATTTCCGTAAGTTATAAGGCTATCCAGAATGATTTCATACTACATCTCACAAACAAAAATGTATGATATATGGTTTCTTAAGATAGGGTCTTTATGATTCTATATTTTACTTAATTAGCAGTAAAAGTCTAAAACTCTAAAAAAAAGGAAATATGACTTTCTTGGAAACCCAACAATTTCATTCCTTACATACTTATAATTTTAGTTAGAAAACACATGTTCATGCATATGTAGCTTCAGAAATATTTATGAGAGTGTACATGGTTTATGGAACAAAAATCATTTCTGTAATTCTGTATTTTTTAAATTTGAAAATAATAAAAAGAATTCTTTATACGCATATAGATCGCAGTTTAGACATTATTAATGCCCGCATGTGGGAGGTTGACATGAAATAAAGACGTTTTATGTTCTTCAGGATAGCTTTTTATTTTGTTTTTCCTCCTTATCTTCGCTATAAGCTGTGAATTATTCCTGCTTAAAACAGCAAACTGTAGTTTGTTTTAGACGTAGATTTGATAGAATTTTACAATAATATTCATACGAAAAATGTAGATTTTTTAAATCTTTATTTTAAGATGATACACACATGAATCATACAATGCAAACAGAAATTAAAATCATACAGTTTGACATTACAGTCTGTCTGAATGATAAAACATTTTTATTTCCCAGTTACCTGCTTGTAGAGAACTATCATCCCCATTTATTCAAAAAAGGCTAGAATATTTCTATGAAGTTTGTTAAGTTGGTATATTCATATTATTTTTTTGCTTTGATAACCATTTTAGATTTGTAGAAATAGTATATGTTGAACATATAATTAAACAATAAATATTAATTATTTCCTTTTTGCCTAATCACATTTCAATACTCATATCCTATTAAATTTGAAAAGATGACACACATAAAAAATACATTTATAATTTTATAATTTATATCATCATTTTATTATTTCATAGACATTTGAATTAAGAACCCTGTTGTAAAATTATCCAAAAGAAGCTACTATATAAAATTATTATTATCTAATGATCTGGAGAACTGGATTTAAAAGAAAAACAAAATTATTGTGTATAATATGGGTGTCAAATAAAAACATTTTATAATTTAATTTTTTTAAATTTATATTTAAATGAATTATTCAGAAATCGTGAGATGCGGTCTGGTGTGATGTAGGTTTCAGAAAAACATTTTATTTATTGTGCCAACGTTTCGATCTTTATTGAGATCATCTTCACGGCTGAAAGTGTTTGTCTTCTATGTAATTGTGCCATTCTTGCGTGTCGTGTTGATAGTGCCGAAATGTTGGCACGATAAAGAAAATGTTTTTCTGAAACCTACATCACACCAGACCGCATCTCACGATTTCTGAATAATTATCGATTAAAGGTCACTAATCACCACACATTTAAATGAATATTTATTAATTTATACATTGCTTAGAAAGAAAGTTGTGTTTTACAATATAATTAAACAAATTCCTAAATTTAAGCATCACTACAGATTAAACAAGAAGCATAATATTATTTTAAGCAATTAGAAAATGACATGGTCAATTAAAATATTGCATTATGAAATATATGACTGTCAAAAATTTAATTATTATTTTTGATCGGTATGTAATGATTGTATTTCGCCTGGGACAAATAGGGAGGAGAGTTGAGAAGGAGCAGCCCAGATACTGGCTCAGAGACTGGTAGCATAATAACAAATCCTTCATTCTTCAATCGTGGCCATAAGAACAACTCTTCCTTCAGGAGTACCGTGTCTGACAGTGAGGTTGAGCAGGGAAATGTAAGTATTAAAGATTATGTATTAACTACAAAGTAAATGTTTGTATATAAAGGCTATTGTTCTATATTCTTTGACCTTCCTATAAATGATCTATTATTACTTTCGTTTTGTGACTTATCAAAGGTCAAGGAATTTTAGTCAAGGTATTTTTTTTATCAAAGAATAAGTAATGTGAGGAAGACCAAGGTGAATTTGTCAGTAGTTTAGTTTGTATGCAGTGTAAAATTTGTTATTCTGAAGCATGTGATAATGTCATATACAGTTGGTGAAAGCATCTATGAATCTGGTAGTTTTCCATCTTTGTTTGTGCAAAAGGATTATGTTACAAAACTTGTAAGCGATATTGACAGACAGCTGACATCCTTGATTAAAGAGTTAGGTGATGATAAGTTTTCAGACCTCATCCCTTTGATTGTTGATGCCCTTGCCTGTTTGGAAGAGTGTTGTGTGATTTTGGAAGATCTGACAAAAGTAAATAAGCAATTGAATAAAGACCTTAAATGTCTAGAAGAACAGTTTGAGAAAGAAAAATGTTATAGAAAAACTTGTGAAAGTAATTTTTTGCATATTGAGTTTGAGAATGAGGAAAATACAATTAATTTACTCAATACAATTAAAGAAAAAAATGAATTGATAACAAATTTAAATAAAAAATTGAGATATATTGCAAAAAAAGACAGCCAGGAGGCTGAGGAAACATTTGAAAAAAATATTGAATATGATTCTTTATTGAAAAAGAATAATGATTTAATGATAGAAAATGCAAGATTGTTGAAAAAAATAAATGAACTGGAAAATAGTGTATCAGAATACAAATTATTTATAAAAAAAGGATGTTGTTGCTTTGGAGATAAAGACAAGTATAATGAAATAGTAAGTAAGTTTACATTTATTTGATTGATAAAAGTCAATAATACAGCTAATTATTATACTTATTAAAACAACAAAATATACACATAATTGGAATTAATCATTATTAGATTCAATTAATAAACCATAAAATATTTTTATAATACAATTAAAAATATCAAAGAGAAATTTTTTACAACACACATGCACAAACAATGTCACATAGGATATAGTAATCTTTATAAACATTAATTATTGGGTTGTCCGGAAAATAATGCAGGATTTTAAGTTTTCATTAAAAAAAATCTATATAAAATATTCTGTTTACGTTTACAGGATTANGTATGGGAAATTATTTTGATTAAAGAACATTGCTTTAAAGTAACTAGTTTCTTTTTTTTTGTTTAATACCAAAATCCTGCATTATTTTCCGGACAACCCAATATCTTTATATTAATCATTCTATGAAAAAAGTTATTATTATTTGAAAATTATATTTACTAACTAAACACCTACTGTCAAATTTCAGAGCAAATGGAAAAATATGCCCTTAATAGGTTGCTGTACTGGGGAAAATTTAGAGAGAAAAAATAATTAAAATTAAATAAGCGTTGTATTACGAGCAACATACATTCACATTTATATTTAGGCCAAAACATATTTTGAATGCTAAATAGTAAGAAAAATGATTTTCAGTTTCCGAGGCAGACAAAGCTTCGTACACCAAGTGTTTGGTCAAGCAAGTCTTCTCTAAGTGCTGGCTTTAGATATCATGGGGGAGCAATTGTACCTTCAACAACACCCAGCCCAGAGACTGGTCGGACCTATTTATTTGAAGGTAAATTTATTCAAGGAATACAAAATTTACAAACAGGTTATTAGCAAATAACTTTTATAGGACTTTTGGGAAAGGAAAGGTCATCGTTATGGGATCAGATGCAGTTTTGGGAAGATGCATTTTTAGATGCAGTGAGCCAAGAAAGAGACATGATAGGAATGGACCAAGGACCTATCGAAATGATGGAAAGGTTCATATTATTATTATGCTATTATAATTGTAATATGTAACATTGTAATAAGAATACACAAATATTTTTTAAAGGTATAAATGGTTAAGTGAAACTGAAAGAAAAAGGCTGGAGCATGAAGAAGATCGTTTACTTTCAACTATGCTATATAATCTTACTGCATTCATGCTAATGCTGTCTGTAAATAAAAATGAACTGAAACACAAAATCAGACGTTTGCTTGGAAAGAGTCATACTGGGCTTGTTTACAGCCAAGAAGTAAATCTGCTTTTAGACCAGATCAATAACTTGGTAATAATAAAGTTACTCCAATTATTGTAATTATTTATATGTATTTCCATTTTTGTTATTTTCACCACCAGCAAGGAAATGATATTGACTTGAAGCCAGTGGCTTCTAGGCTGTCTCAGAGACACACATTTACAGTGCATATGGGAACTGATCAAAGTGGGGAACTTCTTTTCATTGAAGTCAGGGAGGATGGCTTAGCACTGCGAGGTGTGAATGGTGTAATGGTTCGACGATGGTGGTATGAAAGACTTGTCAACATGACATACAGCCCTAAAACCAAAGTGCTTTGTATATGGATAAAAAATTCAGGACAGACACAACTTCATAAGTTTTATACAAAAAAAGTGCATAAAACAAGTTTACTTTCATAAAGTATTTTATTTTAATTTGTCAATATTATTGACAGTGCAAAGATGTGTACTGCTGCATTAAAGAGAGCATGGAAGGGCGAGGCAACTCTGAATTGAAAGGCATTGAACCAGGTGGCGAATTTCCAATTGAAGATCTTTCTACTGGTGAAGGTGGTCTCCTCCATGTCTGCATGGAAGGTGTTGGGCTTCTGTTTGCCAATAGCAAGGTAAATGCATGTCCATATTTTCTCTTTTTTACTCGATTGATGTAGATGTCAATTCTGGATTTAAGCATTGTTAATAATAATTTTGTTGTTTTCACAAAATTTTCATTCCAGGCATTAACATATTAAAATCTTTACTTTTACAAACTTACCTTCAGTAATTTTTCCCCACTTTACAATGGCTTGACCTCCCACATTTTTATTCTTACTGTTTAAATCTTCAAACAAAAATATGCTTAAAATACTTCAAGGACCTCTCAAAATTTACCTTATATATGCTTTTGCTTGATTTTGCAAAATTAGGGACTTAATTGGTTAAAAGTAATTATAAAACTTGTATGTTTATATTGCCCATCTAATTTGTATTACATTTCACAAATTATAACTTACAAAGATACCAGCATATTTGCCTGTACAATTTACTTACAGACTTACACAGACACACACACACACACACACACACACACGTGCGCGCGCGCGCGACAGACAGACAAACACACACACCAAATAATATGAAAACATATACATATATTAAATTTACAATTTTTTTCATTTGATTTTTTTCGCATGTTTTTCTCTCTTTACATATTTAAGTGTGATGTCTTTAAAAAATATATTAATATATGTAGTTCGGAAGGCTATAATATTACAGTTTCAAGTTTCTAAAATGTTTGTTTCCATTCAAATTTTCTTCTTCTTTATTTATTTTCATTATTATTATTTTCTATATATTTGTATTTATCTATATACATAGTTACTTACAATATATTTGTAACTATGTATACTATATATAATATATTTATTTATTTGTTTACTTATTTTTATATTTATGTTTATTTATACTTCCTATATATTTATCTGTTTAACAAATTATCTGTGCCTTAATTATTACGTGATGTTCGGAACGTCTACACACAAAGTTTAAGGAACTTTTGAGATGGTCCTTATTCTAGTTTTGCCATTTTCATAAATTAAACATAATTTTTAAATTTAATATTGTTATTTTACTTTTAACAAAAAAAATACTATTCTACCCTTCATTTTGTCCATTTTTCTGTTTTCTCCTTCAAAATGCATTCTGGATAATGGATACACAGGATTTCGAGGTACACATTTTCATTTCGCCTTCCATTTGATTGTTGTAGAAAAGATCCTTTTTATTTATGTTTTGTTTCTAGCTCAATGGTTTTATCCTGTTTAAAAGGAACTGTTGTTCCTTATGTTTTTATTTTGTTTATTTTTTGTTAGTACTCTGTTTTAGAAATCCAATCCTTATATTTAAAAAGCATGTCTGCACTTAGAATAGATGTTGGACCACTGTTATAGTTTATACATATTTCAAAATCCATAACATTCGCCATCTCACCAGTGCCTTAAGCTTTGAACAGTAGTGAATAAATATTTTAATTATTAATTCATTATTTATTTAACTGTTCTTTGTTTATTGTTTAAAGGATAATGTGCATGGAGGCATGAAATTATTATGGTTTTTGACCATTTATTGAAATCATGGATGTTAAATATTTCTCCATATGTTCATAAATTCATTTACATTGCATTACACATTTCATCCAAGGGATAAAATTTAATGTATTCAAAGCAGTTTGTAATTAGAAACATGCATAACTACTATAGCAAAGAAAAACAGAATCGCCCTTTTTTGTTGTTTGCAACAATAAAAGGAAATAAAACGTTATAAATGGTATTATAATTGTAATTCTAAATTGTGTAAGAAAAAAAATATATAACACACAATAAAAGAAGAAATCATGCTTCATAATCATACTAAAATATACAAAAAATTTAACATACTTCAGTAGAGTTGGAATAGTTGTCTGCGAGTCAGCGAACGCATGTTAAACTGATGGACACTTGATTAGTTTAACATATTCATATTTCACTTGGGTTTTAGCAAAGGTTGTTGAAATTTTAATATATGTACAGTACTTTTTTAGAAAAAGAAAAGTTTTTTTGGATAAATTTTTCACTAGGCATAATCAGAAATTGTTTCACTTTCATGTCAAATATGTTGATTGACTATTTGGCATATATTTTATTCTTTTTAATTTTTTATTTTACCAACAGCCAAACGTTAGTACTAGAAGGCACCTGAATCCTACCAGATAATGATATTGAATTAGTTAATAGTCCACTAGTAACACCTAGATAATCAATCACCTTTGGATGTTCTAGCAAGTTGATTTGTTTGCACATTTTTGTATAAAGTACAGATCCTTTTCATGGAACAAGACATTACAGATTTTGGCATTTACCTTAATTTTAAGCAAAAACCCTGCTGAATTTATGTGGGTGTATATTTCTGTTACTAAAATTTAAAACATTAATAACTTCGGTGGTTAGGCTTAGTTATCTTTTATATTCCAGTGCAAAATATTCTCCACTATTTTTTTTTAAATTGTTATATCATTTATTTCAGTATAATCTGCTTGAAATGTGATGTTTAGTGACTACTACTGCATAACACAAATTTATATCACGCTTATATTGATCACAAACAGATTTTATTAGTTTTTTCTGATAGTTGTTTTAAAAAAATTTAAATTTAATGATTTAATGAATGCTGTTGCATTCAAAAGGCTGGTCACTTCTAAAGATAAAATAATTGCCCCTGAAATTGTAGTCATGCTTGTTTGATGATTTGAAGCACTGATTTAGCGCTAAAGAGAGTAGAAAATACCATTTTTATGGATCTCAGTATTTGACAGTTTATAAATTCTATGTAATAAATGAACCACAAAAAGCTTCACGTAGGTTGCACTGCTTTTAAACACATTAGACCTGTAGTATATTCTGGAATGTTATTTTTACCTTGCAAGTAGAATAAATGTTTTATCATGTCACACAAGTGTGAAAAAAGGGAGTAGTGAAAGGTCAATGGAATCTCAATCAGTATAAAAATTTTGTTAGTTCTTAACTTTCCAGGGATGCTACAGGTATGTAAAACAGACTTTTCATTTTTTCATATCAGATGAACAATTATATATAAAAAATTATTAAAATATTTAAAAAATTGTATATATCTATTGATCTAATAATAATAAAATGTGCCAAAAATTTTAATTTTGACCACCAATGCATGCAGGAAAAAATATTCTGTGTTGGAATATTTCTGTTATTTTTTGGTATTGTATGTTGCATACTCAATGTTGCATCGTTCTGTTGAATCATTTTTCTCCTATTATACACTGAGGATCCTCTTTTCAAAATGTTTACATCTTTAATGTTTTTAGTTCTTCATAAAGCTGGAACACATAAGGAAGTGTTTCACGCAAAAGGGAGGAATATTTGTCTTAGAAGAATTTAGTAAGTATCTGTTTTTACTTATTCCTATAAAACATTTGCCTTAAATTTAAAAAAAAATCTATTAAAACACTTAAGAAATATTTACATGTTTTAATATAAACTTTTTATTAAGAGTTATTTTATTTATTTTTGTTTTTCAATTATGTTTATTTGATATTTACAATTACAAATATTGTATTAAGTAAATATGTTCATATATGCTGGATTTGCATTTGAGTCTCTTGTAGGAGAAGTTTCCCAGTTTCAACACCCAATCTCACTGAACCCTCAACAATCTTCACTCAGTGAGAAGATCTTGGGGATACAACTCAAAAATAAAATATTTTTTTATAAATTGAAATGTGTAGGTGTTGGAAACAAAAGCATACCCCTTGTTTTACCTTAAAAAAATGCTTAAGCACTTAAAATTAAAAAATTATGCATTTTACGCTTTATGCCATTTATGAAAGACATCTTCACTCACTTTTGTACTAAATACAAACAACTAAACAACAAATAATATATTATCATATTACCAACTCCCTCTACCACTTCATCCCTTTAATTAATGAAATAATGGTGATCTATCTCTCCTCTTCTTTCTGACCAATATGTTATCCATCCAATATGTATTTTTCCCATCATTGATCAAACAATATTGCCATGTGTCCAGCCTATCTTCCAATGACCGCTCCCTTATTTTTAAATATTATGTCTATTGGGTTATTTGAAAAATGATTTTTTTCACTTCACTAAACCACAAGCTTATCATGTTGCATCTCCAGTTGTACCACTTCCAGTTTTCTATCTAGCTTCTTTGTTAATGTCCAAATTTAATCACAAATGTTCCGTCAAGGTATAAAGCACAGAATGAAACAATCTTAGCATTACGTTTGATGGAGAAGTTACCTTTGAAAGTCCTCTTCAATTACTAGCATTTCTTCCTATTTCTTTTTTCAAAGGATTTATTAGGCCCAAATATATACTACTTTTCTAAAAAGCTATAAACTAATAAAGTTGTATGTAAATGACTCATTTAAATCTTTATTTTTAGATCCAAAAAATAGACAAGTAACACAACGCAGATACAAATCATCAATGGTAAGTATTGTTTATTTTAAAATGTTATCTAAATAATTATTACATATTACTATTAAATATATACAGACACACTGTTTTTTTTTTAATGTTATTTTTTGTAATCATTTTTGGTTATTATTTTATTTATTTTTTTATGTTGTAGGCTGAAGAGCTAATTATTATACTTCACAGAATTATTTCAGTTGAATTTTCAAAGCAGTTGGCCCAAAATCTCTGATTTTGTTTTACTTTAATTTTATGATTTTCACCTTCAGTAAGACTACTATTTTTTCCCCCTAATTACAGAAGGTTTTATGAAGAGTGTTAATCAAATTATTGAATGTTTAAGAATCAAATAATTAATTTGCTGTTCAAATACAGTAACAAATAGTAGTTATAGCACAATGTATTTATTAAAAACAAACTATTATCTCATTTATAATTTTTTACTTTAAATTAAAATAATTATCAAATTAGGTTGTTTTTAATAGTGTAGTATATTTGTGTTTCTTAAGTACAGTAAATCAATCAACACTCTGTATAAAACCTCAATAATTTATTTCTTTTTGTTATCTGTCTAACATATAGTCTATGTTCTCTGTTTTCAGACGGATCAGATCTGTTATTCAGTTCTATGTATATTTTCTTATGTGGCAGCAGGGCAAGAGAAGAAGTTGCAAACATCCAAGAAACCTCAAAAGAGTTTCAACTAAAACATCTAAAATAGTGGACGTTAAAACAAAAATGAAACTGTCATTATTGATCGTTCTGTCTGTATTTGAAAAGTTGTGATAAAAATATCTTTCTTAGATTAAAATAATTGTGATTGACAATAGTTACCTTTGTATGTCCTTGTGTTTAGCCTGAACTGAAATAGAAAAGACCTTGTAACGAAGGGAAATATTTATTGCACATGCAATTTCTGCGTAAATTATAAAGTAAAATCCATATTTTTATGTATGCAGGTGAAGAGGGTCAGTTGTTCATACCACATAATTATTATAAATATGGAAAGAAACACATTTCAAGTTTAAAAACATTGCCTCTCTATCTTTATATGGTTGTGCTACATTTATTTATAAGAAATTGAATTGTATCACAACTTAAATAAACCAATATTGTTTTCCTCATAAATACAATGGATTATAAAATTTTAAAAAATGTCATGCGCTTGATTTTAAAGACATTATTTATCTTATTCATAAACACTGTTTATGAAAATTTGTTATTTATTTTTCAATATTAATATTGTTACATATCAAACAAATATAACAAAGAAAATGTGTTTCGCTTGTATTGTATTTTACCTTGTCCAAGTAGATTATTAATAATAATAAAATGGGCATATCAGTGGCCGCAATGGCTAATGCAGTTAGTAGTAGTTCCCCCAGAGTACTTACATTTTTTCACACCGGAATTCTGGGTTTGCTCTGAACTATTAGTTGAGAGGGTTTTGGGTTTTTTGCGTTTTTCTTGAAAAATACATAAAACAACGTGCCTACGAGCCTTTTATATCGAAAAAGACAATAAATTTTTTTTTTTTGATTTTTGATTGTTTTTTTTCGTTTTTCTTGAAAAATAGGTAAAAAATGTGCCTACGAGCCTTTTACATTGAAAAAGACAATAAAAATGTTTTAGATTTTTTTTTAAACATTTTTCTTGAAAAGTACATAAAAAATGTGCCTACGAGCCTTTTACATTGAAAAAGACAATAAATTTTTTTTCGATTTTGTTGCGTTTTTGTTGAAAAATACGTAAAACAATACAATAAAAAATTTTTTGAATATTTTTTTGAGAAAAACTAATAATAATAATAAATAGCCCTTTATTGAATCATTCTTTATATTAATTATTTCACTGTACATTTTATAGGACGTGGAGTAGTTGTTCATTGAAGGCAATATTACCTATTTTTAAGCATTGATGCAACTGAACAAATATTGTGTACCCCTACATAATACATATATTATAATTTTAAATTAATAACACTCTAATACAATTAATAATAACATTAAAATAACACTTCTATAGAATAATTCATAATCTATTCACTAAATCCATAAAAACTGTACTACTAGTAGCAATGAACAAATTTTTTACATCACTTAATATAATTTATTCTTTGACAATAATTTTAAAACACTTTAGAATTGTATTACCTTGCAGGCATGGAAATTCTACATGTGAAGTCATGTGAGACTTGGTGTGAACTTGAGGTGTTTTGAGACGATGAATGCCTACTTCGTCTGCACAGACACCCTCAGTGCAGTTACTGTTGCCCAAGACAGGTCCTCTGTTGACCCTCTCATTGTTGTAGGAGAAATACCAACTGGAGCACCTCATAAGCCTGCAGGGTAGAGGTGTTTAACATGTACAAACTTAACCACCGTGATCTGGCCCTATGATGCTAAAAATGCAATATGAACAACGTGATTAAAAGAAATTAGCAGAGTCAGTGGGTAAGATCAGAAGCTAAAGGATATCAAGAGTGCTATCAATATGTGGCCCTCGAAGGATCTGAACCGTAGAAAAGGGATCATCCTCACCCTATTAATAGGTCATGACAGGTTACAATTATTTAGGGCCAAAGACTCAATGTGTCCCATTTAATTGAAGGCTGGCATTCCCTGCCATAAAAAGTGCCTAGGAATGCCACTCGATATAAGAATTGTGCTATATGAATATTTTGGTCTCCTGGTCCGATTTTTGGTGGAAAAAGGATTGTTTTATTGTACACAGTACTTGTACTCCATTCCCACTCCTCCCTGCTGGTTGTCTCCTGTTTAGATATTAGGTGAAAGCGAGGTAGAACACAGTATTATGGTCTTTTTGTACAGCACTTTTAGCTAGAACATCGGCCATTTGATTTCCTGGTAATTCTTCATGAGCTTTCATTCATCTAACCTTAACACTCTTCCCTTTTCAAATAAACTTTTTGATTAACCTCTAGTGTGTGCGTGTGTGCGTGTGTGTTTAGTAACTATTCTACATGCTCCATTTACAATATTGCATAGCAGATTAGTTTTCACGATGTATTTGAGATAAAACTGTAAACAAAATTTTAAGTAATAGCAATAATAACTCTCCTGTTATTTTCACAACTTACACTTAATTTATTATTTGCATAGAATTTAAGAATTGAACAATTTTATATACTGCTTCGAGATCAATTCTCGCTTTTGTGAAGATAAAGTCCTGTTGCCATATGTATCTGATTAATTTTCATCTTTGTCTCTCGTGGCATCAGCAATGAAATACATGTGACCCCATGTTTCTTTGGAGTCTTCACAGGAGCATTATCCGTACCGTACCAAATTGTTTACACATTTCCTTAATGAGAGAAAAAGGAGCACAGGAATAGCATATCAGAAGTGTGCTAAGAGCAGCCTCTTTTAAACCTAGTACACACTGGATTCTTCGAATCGATTCGTGTTGAGGGGCAGAGTAATTCATTGTTCTGATGCAGCCCCGACTCTGCTCCGCAACAAAGAACTGTATCCAGACCAAGATTCAGTTCACATTCATCACTGCCTGCGAAAATGATGGAGGAACTAGCTCTCTCGGGAATTTCCCTTGCTCTTTTTTACATTGCACGTAGTGCATCCAATCGGAAGTGCATTAAAAAACGCCCAAAAAGATGGTGGGTGATGTTTCGGCTAAACCGTTCAATGGTTGGCTTTTCAATTCCTGATTTCTGTATTCTGTGAATGATATATCCCACAAACACCAATGGGAATGCACATCTTCAATAAACTGTAAAGTCAACTCGGTACTCCACAACATACCTTTATACAAGACTCTATCAAAATCTTCAAGAAAACACTCACTAGAACGTCAACTAAACAAATAAGCAAGAGCGCTTGTTCCAATTCACGTACACACTGGGAAATGTTGCACAACATTGAGTCAAAGAATCCCACATTGGATAGGATTCAAAAGTCTGAAAATGCTAGCCCGCAACACACCAGATTCATTGCAACAGTGAGTTGGGGCAGCGAGGACTCAGGCTAGACGCAGCCAAGACTCCAGAGATTCTGAGTCGATTCAAAGAATCCCAGTGCGTACTTACCTTAACGGAATCTCGCTCATTTCCCTCATTATACAATGAACTTTAACCCATTTCAAACTAACTTCCCAGCCAGCATTGTTTAGACATGGTAAAGTCTTTTGGATATTTTCGATCAACTGTTTCTTTTTACTCAAATTTTTGGTGGTCATTATTGAGATCTCACTATTTGAATACACAATCAACCAATGGCTTTTAAACTGATCTTGAAATTGTTTCCCCCACATCAATGCTTTCCTTATCACCATCAGCTCTGTTTGATTATTGGAGAAAAATTCAGCTAGACTGAATTTTTCTTCATGTACAATGTGTACATGTACATGTTGCACACAACTCAAAGAAATTGCCATATAAGAAAGGGAACAAACACAATACTACATAATAAGAAACACAGATCAGATGCTTTAATGTTCTCTGCCAACACAGACCCAAAATTTCTTTGGTTGGAATGATACATAATAGTTGTTTAGATTTTTTTTATGTTTAACTTTTCATCGTATTATCCATAACTTTCTTTTTTAATAAGCTTTATTTTGATATTGATTTCCTATATTATTGACAGTTTAACAATACAATAAGGAGGGGTGAGTATTTATAGTCGTAAAATATAAATACAATTTAATGTACAACTTATTACAATAAATTTATTTATATTAAATAGTTGCCTCATACACAATCCATATATGCTCACTTACTCACTCTCATTTGCACACACTCACACATAAACACACTCTCATTAACAAAAATGCACTTAAAGCAACATATGGGATCTAAAGTTCTAACATGAGTAATATTTAAATCCCAAGCTATAATCAATTAAGTTTGGAATCAATAGCTATTTAGAGTTGTACACAATGTCACTTAAAATGTTTTGCAGAAAATCCTTGTAAAAGCACCACAAACCTCAAGGTGTCAGAGATACACCATTCTTGGTACAGGTGGAAGGAATTACGTACAAGTAAGTACATGTAAATTCCAACAGTGAGTTGATTTTTAATTCACTTTTCATTATAGCACTTATTAAAAGGTAAACAGCAAATCGTATGTTCATTTACGATTTTGGATTGCATTGGAGAGCCAGTCCATGGCAGACTCAAGCCCTTCACCTTTCACAGCAGAAGTCTTGAAGATTTGGAATGTCCGATTCTTGAGTGCATCTAACCCAAGTGCTTGATGGACTTCTGCCACACTCATGCAACCGTCCATATCTTGTTTGTTTGCAAGCACTACGAGAATCGCACCTTGCAGTTCTTCTTCCTGTTTAAAATTTTGTTTTATTATTTCAACTCACTTCATTATGTAGCTCACTACTTACATTTAACATATAATACAGTTCATCTTTGGAAATTCCTATTCTATCTTTATCTGCTGAATCAACAACATAAATAATGGCATCTGTATTTGCATAATAACATCGCCAGTAAGGCCTAGAAAAAATGGAGTAATTTTATTAATAAGAATAAAAATCATTCAAAATAAACATCATTTACAACCATTAATAATTAATAATTATTATTACTTTTATTCTTTAATAAATTTAAGAAAATGTAGTTTACAAATAGAATCAAATAAATCAAAATTAATTTTCATAGCAAAAGAACTATGATACCTGCTTAAACTTATTTATTGTTTTTATTAATAATTCTTTCTGTATGTCAGTAATAATCGGTTTCAAATTTCTTTAAGATAGACTCAGTCCCAACATCGCCAAGGACTGTAACACTGTTTTACGAATTATTAAAAACTTAATTATGTCAATTTAGAGAAATTTTTAAGATTATTTTGCCCTGATGATGTCCTTAAAATATTACTCAAAATCTTGGCCGATAACATTTATAACATTTTGTATTTCTTCTAAAGTAGGAATTGGGCCGAAGAATAATGATGGATGGTCACCTAGCTTTGTTTGCCTCTGCCCATGGGTGCTCCAGCCTGTGCGTAATCTATGCTTGACTGATGAGCAACTTTCTAACTTGGCTTCTTATTGATTGCTTTGTCTTCAGAAAGTTTCATTATTTGGCTTCAACATCTTCTGTTCGATAAACCGCAATTGGCCTTATTTTTCTTCTTCTTTTTTTATTTCAACTTCAACTCAAATATTTACAGAAAATACATGTACTGTATTTTAATTTTCAATTTTTATTATTAAATAACAAGCTCCTACCGCTCGCCTTTCTCCATTATCCACATTATACAATTTAATTTGTTTTTACAGCCAGACCAAACCAGATCCAGATTATTTGTGAGTAAAAAAGTGATCAATACATCAAACACTTTAAATTCTTTCAACACTCACCATACAAGGCAAGTTGTAATAGTAATTTTAATAAACCGAGTAATTGTCAGATGTGGTTATTTGTAGCATTCAACAATGCATACTTCTGAATCAAATTTGTGAAAATTTTCAAGTACATTTGTAATTGCAAAGATGTGACAAGTGAAACAAAATGAAAATAATATCAAAATGGTCAAAGATAGTTATTACCTTATACTCGTCTGCCCTCCAAGATCCCATACTTGAAACTTGAGGTTCTTATAAGAGACTTGTTCTACATTAAACCCAATGGTAGGTATTGTTGTGACCACTTCGCCCACTTGGAGCCTGTACAGAATGGTAGTCTTGCCCGCACCATCCAATCCTAAAATGAGAATCCTCATTTCTCTACTACCGAATAGATTTCTAAAATAACTTAAAAGCCCTCCTGAAATAATAAAATTAAATAAAAATATAAAAAGATGTAACATGTTTTCAAATAATATAATTCTGTCACAAACATGCACAGATTATTTATTTATATATGGATACCATCCTTATACAAAAATATGAACATGTATTACAAGTAATACACATAAAAAGAGCTCATCACGTTAACTTTATTCAAACTAACTATCAATAAATGATTATTTAGATATCGAGAGATGTGGTCTGGTGTGATGTAGGCTTAGAAAAACATTTTCTTTATCTTCTATCAATATGAATATTATTATAAATAACACCATATTATGTGTAAACATTGTAATGATTTGTGTAATATTAAGTGATCGTTAAGTAATGATTATTTAGAGATCGTGAGATGCAATCTGGTGTGATGTAGGTTTAGAAAAACACTTTCTTTATTGTACCAACATTTTGATCTTTATTGAGATCATCTTCAGGGGCTGGGACTCATAAACATTGTTTAATTGTACAAATACATTTAGGGTGTGAAAAAATGAATTTATACAATGATATACACAATATAGAAATTTTGAGTTTAATCAAAGTATTTGTACTAACTCACTTTTCTAAACCTACATCACACCGGATTGCATTTCACGATCTCCAAATAATAATTACAATGTTTACACATAATACGGTGTTATTTTTAATATTCATGTAGAAAGAAGATAAAGAATTTTTTTAAATGTAAATACAAAGAATATATATGCCTAGATTGTCAAGATATGTTTAGCAAATTGTGAAGTTGGTTCAGAAAAATATTAATACAGGAATTAAATAATTGTAAGTGAGGGATGTCATTCTTTCACTTCTATAGACTCATTATGTAGCATTTTTCAACATTTAGTATTAACTTTTAATGAACCCTACATGGAATGAAAATTTGTCAGAATGAATCAGTCGGCCATCCTCATTCGATTGAATTGTTATTAATATTTTTAGGTCTTGGGGAAAAAGGAGAGGAATGGAATGGCATATAATAAGAGGAAAATCGTTGACAAAAATATTAAACAACAGAGGCGAGAGATGAGCACCTTGTGGAATAATGAGGTTCATATCGTAATTTATACAATAGAAATGATCACATACTGCAGGTCTAATCGTTATTTGACTGTTATTCAGAATAATTGTACACGTAAGATAATGTACATGTAACCTTACACGTGCGTGATTAAGTCAATTGTTGGAAAATTACCACCATTCACTCTAGTTGAATTCAAAACTTTGATTTCAATTTATGAACTTACCCATTTTCAACTCGATACAATAACAAACTTGAGAAAAAAGAATAAAACCCCCGAAAAAAATCTTCCCCGTCGGTTGGGTTCCAGTTAACACAACCCACCGATTGTCGATCTACGGCCACTTCGACCATTGCAGATAAGAATCAACATGACTAGAGGATAGTAGAGAAAAGAGAGGACGATTGATTGTCAATGAACGAGAGATGGCGCTTACACTTCACTCACTGGGAGATTCCGGCTTTTTTGGACAGATTTTTTCGCTGATTCAGTATTCCACGCAAAATCTGGTATTAAATGCAATCCTACGGCAAAGAATTAGTATTCCCAAAAAGATTGTATCGTTTAATTTCACTTTGAGCGGTAACAAGGGTAAATTCAAATAAAAGAGCTCTAATAGACAATATTATATTTTTGTACAGTGTTGTTGAGTTTAAAAAATCAGTGTCATGAGAAAGACTCACGGTTCATCTCAGTAACACTTTACATCAGATAATAAAATAGTCAATTTCTTAGAAATAATTACTTTGTGTTAGGAGGACCAACAAAGTTTATGACCTCAAAGTACAAAGAGTCTGCTGGAGTCAAGGACATAGTAGTCAGTCCCTAAGAGGAAATGGAGGAGTGGATTCACTCACCATAACAGCAACACATACTGGGGAATTTCATCCCATTATGCTACTGTTAAGTAACACCAAACAGACATTGAATACGGCTGATTTGGGAAAAGGCAAGCTTGGTAGAGCACAGGGGGCACGGGGTCGGTATACCAAGTCAATGATCCCCACCATGTCTTCTACATGGTTCAAAGAAGTTGAAGGAGGAAAATCCTTTTTTTCAATCCTTGTAAGGATTCAGACTAATCATGGCAGAGTAATCATTACTTGAACCAAATAAACCGTAGAACTTTGCTCAACTGTCCGATTCGTGATGAGCTAGAGGATAAAGTCATATCGAACTCTTATGAACAGAACATGAGGCTTAAAGAGAAAGACTGTTTGAAAGTCTCAATCACAAGAGTGATGACTAAGCCGTTCAATTTACAAACTCTAATACAGTCAGAAAATGAGTGTATATATAAAGAAATTTTCAGGTTCATACAAGATAGCAGGATCGAAATTTGATGTGATTCTCTGTTTATTTTAATTATTAATTTGTTGAAGTTGTGAGGAGTGGTCAAGAATGAGGTAGTTTAGAAAAACACCTTTTTCATTTTTTTGCCAATGTTTTGACCTTTATTCAGGTCATAAAGTGTGGTGCTATTCTTGTGGTGTCATATTGGCTTTGTTTGAAAGTGTTGAGCTAATTAATTATTAAGTTGTTGTTAAATATAATTATTTATTATAGAATTGTTACAATTTAAATCCATTGTTAAATTATTTATTTATTATAATCTATTAAATTTATTATTAGATACTTAAGGACATAATTAATTTCTAAACCCAAACTAGATGTATGTCAAACAGACAAAGCCAAATTTTAAAAAAAATTATTTTATTATTTCAGTCTTCATTGCATAAATAAAATTAATTTTACATAAGAAATTAGTATTTCTAAACAATGCAAGAACAAAAATTCTCCAAAATTGAGTTAAATTTGTATTGATTATATAATAATGTCCATTTTTCTAGCTAATTTAAAAATAATTTTATTTTGACACAATTTTTTTTCTTCTGTGAAAGGGGTCCACTGATTAAAATATTTGGAAAGCTCTGTTCTATTTAAAGCAGACACCAGTCTAAGAAAAATAGGACTTCTACAGTTATGATTCAGAAAGTCTCGAAAATGTAATTAGGTATAGATTATTTTGCACTGTCCACTTTTCCTCGCTAAGTTGGTCAAACGCTTTGGCATTTTGCGATCTTCAGTGCTAGATCTGAGCAACAGAACAACCCAGTGGGGATCGGCAGCTTAAACTGATCAGAAGACCAAATTACACGTTCATCACTCTGCAGATGACATGGAAAAATCTTACAAGTTTCCAACAGTTTGCTGTTAACAAACATTCAGTGCCTGCAATTCTGTATTATTAAATGGGGAATGTTGGAGGTCCTTAGTGAGATTCTTGAGTGATGCATTCAAGTAGAGCTTATTAGAAATGTGAATTTTATTTATATTTAATAATACCTAAGAAAATAATTTACATTTTTATTGCTTTACACTTATTTAAATTAACAATACATATATGAATTTAATACATAATATCAATCTTTGAATTACTCAATAATGTGGAATATAGACAAATAGTTCATTCACGTTTCACAACAATTTTACACAAAACCATCACAAGGATAGCACCACACTTTACGTGAGTATGAAATATTTGGTTCAAAATTTGTATTTACATCTGTATTGCATTGTAATTTACCCAGGCCCTGAAGATGGTCCAAATAGAGGTTGAAACATCAGCAAATAAATAAAATAAAAAAAGTGTTTTTCTAAAATACTTCATTATTGACAGCCCTTCATGATTTATAAAAATTAATGATTTTAGTAAATGAAAAAAAGTGGAAATCTACCTAAAGTATTCATTCATATTAACTAGGTATTGCTTTTTTTTCAAAAATAAATAAATGTGTATTGTGGATACCCTCTAGTATTTTCATAGAGACAGTTGATATAAAAAAAGTGTCAATAACAATCAATAAGTAGGCCCATGAATAAAAAAATAGTTTCACTTAACCAGAACCCAATAAGCCAGTATAGAAGATAATCTATACTTAGCAAGACAGTTTTTAGAATTGTTTTATTAAAATTTTGAAAATAAAACATTTAGCCATCTACATTTGGAATCTTTACAATTCTTTAGCAATATTTCTCAGTTTAAAACTGATAAAGTAACCAAAATAAGTTAGTAGCACAGTATATTTAATTTTAACTTAAAAATAAAGTCCTGAGTCTGTTTAAAAGGCCATGGACTACTTAGGAAATGAGAAAAAACATAAAACCAAAACCGTAAACAACTTGGATGATTTGCCTTATGTCCTTCTCTCATTCATCACCAGCGCACTTTATCTCATCATGCCAGGCATCATCGTGTTTACAATCTTTCGAGTTACTATTGTTGCGTATGTACATATTTATTTATTTTATTTATATTAAAATAATGATATATACTCAAAGAAAGAAAAAGGACAATCATATTTTGTTTATTGCAAATTATATATTTTTATTGTTATATTAATTAAACTTATTAAATACTTATTTTAATGTAAACCAAATTAAACAAGATTAGAAATTATGAGTTTTAATAAAAAATAATTAATTACGATTGTTTAAAATTAAAAATAAATTCTGCTCATCATACTTATCCATAAAATTCAATTTTAATTCTTACCGTAGTTTAAATATTATAAAAAACTTCTATCATAGAACCAGAATGTTTCATTTAGAGTGCTGGGGCACATCTCTGGAATTCCCATCCATGCCATATAAGGTTGGCCCACCCCCTTTGAGCTTTCAGGTGTAAAGCTTGCAAACCATCCTTGATTTGATCAAAAACTCAACGTGATCTTGTGGTTATACTCTTTTTCTTCTCTTTTATACTTTTACTTTATACCTACGTCCCTCCTTCCTTAATATTCAACTAAGTTAATATCATACAAATTTTGTTTATTAATTATTATTTCTTGCATTATGTTTTGTAATCTTTTTGTTATTTAATTATTTTATATTTTTCAAAATGGCCCAAGCCCTATTAGGAAAATGTTTTTTGACAAATATATTTCTATTTGTATTACTAAAAGAAAATTCACCAAAACACAGGAAAATCATTTAATTCGATTAAAATTTAACTAATAATTTTTTTTACCTAGTTTTGCTGATGATTAAAACAGTTTTTTGGTGTTTTGTTGAATTTTCTTTGAAACCATCATAATTAAATAATTTTTATTAAAACTCACGAATTTTTCCTCTCATTTAATTGGTTTCCATTAAAATAAGTATGTTGTAATTAATCTAATGATAAAAATATATACAGTTATATAGTTTGAAATTAAAATAAAAACACAATTTTTTTTCTTTTTTGTCCTTGAGTAAATATATTTAGAGAGAGATAAGATCTGTGGCAATAATTGACTAATTATTAGTCGCTGTTTGTTGGCTGCTAGAATGGCAAGTATGGGGGTCTCGCTTAATCTTGGCAGGGATGCAGATGGGTACAAAAATGGCTAGTGTCGAAAATGTGAATCTTAAGAACTTAGATCAACCAGGAGTAGGGTACCATATAACTGCTACCAAGGTCAACATTGGAGTTAAAGAAAAGAAGAGGGGAGTAATAAACAAGTGGGATTAAATCATTGTGTTGCCCTGTGTTGAACAAACAAGATAGATTTTAAAGCATAAAGAGAGGAAGAGAACAGAAAAAATGTCTAATCTACAATTTTTGTGATGTTATCTGATTTGAGTGCCATGACTTTCATTTTTATCTAACTGACCATTGTAAATGTTTTCTGATATACCCGTATAAAAAGTCCACAAACAATATGACATTACATGCAGTAAGGTGAATTGAAAAGAAATATTTCTATTAATTACATTTTTAAGCTTTTCTTTGAATGTTGCAGGCAACTTCAAGAGATCTGGGGTGCCTCTGGAAATTTCTGGCAATCAGGATGGGAAAAAATATTAGATATTGCAGGAGAAGATCCTTACACATACTGGGTTTACGGTAATTTATACAAGTATACCTCATTTATAGTCCAAATCATTATGTATCATAACTAAAACTTTTAAGAAAGGACTGTATTTTCATAATATTTTTTATTTGACTTTATTCATATCCAGTTCTTTGTAAATACATTAACTCTTTCATGAAATTTTGAATAAACCTGAATTTTATCCATAATTTTTTGGATATTAAAACTTTTATTGTTAGATTTTTAAGTATTTAAAACATTGAAGAAGTTAATTTTAAAATTTCCTGTTTGTTATTTATTAATGAGTGGAAATTCCTATCTAAATTTTCATTTATTTATTTGCTTAAATAATGCAACATAATTTTGCTATTTTAATGCTAAGCATTAAAATTTTTTGTTCTATAGGTACGTTGCTCCAGACTTTTGTAGTGTATTGGCTGATTGGGGCGGTGTACACCGTCCTGGACTTGATTGACAAACCAGCCATGCTGCGGAGATACAAAATACAACCAGGAATGAATGAACCTGTTAACAGAGAACGACTCATCAAGGTTTTTAACTTTGAATAATCTTAGACTAAACACATTTTATTTTATTTGTAAAGAACTACTACTACGTACTATGTTTTTTTGCAAATTTTATAATGTGAAGTTCTCTGATATAATTTAAAAGTTTTTCTCTTATTACCAATAACTATTTGTTTACAATTTTAGTTTTCTATGTTCAAAAATATCTACAGTTGCAAATGACACTAATAAGTAATAAAATTTCCTCCTGTATACAACATTACAAATCTTCACTAAAACAAATCCACTTATTGGTTTTTCTTTCAGGTAATTATTCAAGTGTTGTTCAATCAAACAGTGGTTGGTTTGCCTGTTACATTGCTCAGTTATAAGATTATGGAATGGAGAGGAATACATCCATTGAGGGAACTGCCCACATTCCATATGGCCATTGTAGAAATCACTTTTTGCGTAATTATAGAGGAAATATTTTTTTACTATTCTCACAGGTATGCCATTTTACATTATTAGTAATGAAATTGAAGAAAACAATTCAACTGGTTTTCATGTTTGTCTTTTAGGAATTGTGATTTTGATAAATAACTTCTATATAAATATATAAAAATGCATAACATTGAAACTGAAGTATTAGTCACACTCTATAGCATAGTTTAATCACCCCAACAGTTATCAATAGGTGATATTTTCACTGTGTCAAGTAAATTTGTAATACTTTTTCTTTATCTTGTGTGACGTACACTGGTTTTAATTGTTGGCCAATTCAAATTCCATCAATTTGTCATCATGTAAATAATTGTATTTTACTGTTTTCAAAGTTTTATTACAATTAATATTTGATCTCTTTTTGAAGTCAAAGGTGATGTCCCACATCATAGTGGAAAGACAGATAAAATAAAGAAGGGCTGTAGCTAGAAAGAATTTGATAATTGTTTACCTATAATAAAAATAACGTTAAACTTCACTTTACTAAGTCTGTATATTCTTGTGAGTTTAAATTTAACCCGAATACAATTTAGATTCACACCATCAATAACCTCTGATCTCCTTATTAATAATTGCAGTTAAATTTAGATTGGTCTCTGGAAAAGGTCAATCATTAATCATATAATAAAAGTTAACATATATACAACATATAACATAATAAAGGTTAAAGATTAAAAAGCAGTTAGTCTCTTTATAACCAGCATTGAACTATTGTGTAATCTCCTAAATATTCTCTCTATAATATAAGCTTAAAACTTTTTACCAGATTCCAAAGCTTTGTTAAGGACTCCCATGGTTCAGTTCTGGCCTTTTCCAGTAGAATCTCAGCTTGCTTAGGTCTTTGCACCAACAGAAAACATATTCCACTGTTTCTTCTTCTTCCTCGCTTAAACTGCACAGGCTTGTTTCTGCTGCTCTGAATGTATACATGTGCATCTAGAGTCACAGGCCAACTATCATTCTATTCCAACCATGCTCTAAATTGGTAGTTCTGCCATTAATTTTTTGGAGATGTTCCTTTTATGAACTTATTCGTATGCCTCTGTTCTGGAATACATTCTCATTGAATTGAGGACCGATTCTTAATCCATTGCTTGATGGATCTACATTTTTGGTAGTTTGGTATGCCACAAAAGAGTTCAGGGCCAATAGTAGTCCTAATTGAACTTTCCTTTGCCATTTTATGAGCCTCTTCTTGTCCCTCTGCTCTAATACCCAGTGAAGGGTAATTTTGTTGTTATTCTCAATGTCTATAGAGCTCTCACATACTCCCAATGGCTCTGGACTTTATTACCAATAAGGTAGTTACCATTGGCTTTTAGTGCTGCCTGACTATCCAAGTAGATGGCTATTGTTTTGTTAATAGTTCCTAGCCTTTTTATTTCCTTGGCATAATGTTAATAAACACTGTCTCTGCTTGAAAGATGATGGTATATTGCCCAAAGCTTGTATAACTTCAAGTCTTTGGTTTATTTCCTTAGATAGCAGCTTCTGACCCATACTTGCTCTTAGACTCATCTGTATTCTAGATGTAGGCATCATTAATCAGGATCACATTCTCCCAGACTGCTCTAGCTGGTATTTTAATTTGAAATTTTTTATAAAATCTGAACTTTGGGGTCATGGCCTTATCTGGCATCTGTTGTCTCGTATGGACTGACTAAGGTAAAACCGAATATAAATCGACAAGAAAATGACTTAGACTTTATTGACTATAGACTGCTGTCGAACACTAACATAAGACATAGTTACATACATAGACACATACATCTCTAAGACCAGCGCGACTCGACTTAGTACAATGATTATCTGGTGGAGCAGAACACAACACCGCCCTCCCCATAGTATAAAAAACAATATTTTATAATAAATATATACAATATTATTTATACATATAAACATAGTTATACAATTTACAATACACAATATAATACTACTATACAATATACAATACTACTATTTTAACTGACAACGAGAAAACCTCTTAGGTGGTTTAATGTTTGTTCTCAAATTATACATACTCCTTAGTGGAGTATGTGGGACTGTGTTAGGACTGGGGATATGAGACAGACTGGGAGAATTTGTAGAGATTACAGTTTGATCAATATCTTGTTTAGGACTCTTAAGGATACTAGGACTTATCATTGGATTACAGATTGCTTCCGACGACCAGTTGCGTTGTGGGACATCATTAAAAGAACATACTCTTCTCTTCAAATCTATTACATGTACTTTTCTAACTACTCCATTTGTTTTTACTAAATACATCATGTTTCCAATTTGTTGCAGACCAACGCTGGAACCCACTTGACAAAACCCTTAAAGTTAATATTCCTTACCATAACTTGTTCACTGACATTAAAAAAAGGAACTTTTAACTGATGCCTACTAACATTTTTATTGTTTCCAAGCTGAAATCTGACTTCTTTTGGATTTAGCACAGACATGGGTGTTCTAGGATTGAATCTAAACATAAGTGAAATTCGTGAAACGCCTTGATGGTATATAGTGATACAATGACAATAAATCAAACAAACGATCTTGAATAGACGATATCGCTGGCCTGTGGGACATGAAGGACTTAATCAGTAACTTTTTTTTTAACCACATTCAGCTAATCCATTTGATTGTGGATTGTATGGTGCACTATGCCGTAACCTAATTTGACGCTGATGGCAAAACGATAAAATCTCACTAGAGTTGAATGGTGGACCATTGTCAGAGATTATGACTTTTGGGTACATAAAACTAGAAAACACCTCATTTAATTTTTCAATAATGACACTGACTTTTGACGAACTAACGTGAAAGCATTCAATCTATTTCGAGAATGAATCGACAATGACAAAAAATTTCAGACCTTTTAACTCAAGAACTCAAAAAAATCAATGTGCACTCTCTCCCAACAAGATGTAGATGTAGGCCAAGGTTTTCTCACCTCATTGCTATTATTTTGAGTTGCCTGACAAATTTTGCACAACCCAACAAATTTTTCAATCTGTTCATCCATGTTTGGCCACATAAGATCTAGCCAACTCATTTGATCTTACAATGCCAGCATGGCTATGGTGTAACATGGTCAAAACCTTCATCCACAAGCTCTTAGATATGACGATTTTATTTCCTAGAAATAGACAACCCTCACTCATAGTTAGCAAATTATGGACCTTAAAATGCAAAAAGTTCTGACTGACGAGACAATTCGACCAAGAAGACTTTAGACATTCACTAACTGACTTTAAGATAGGATCGGATAAACTAGGACTTTTTATTTCAGTAAACGGAATTAAAGGTGTGGACATATAAATGAAATTTGCGACATCTAAATCAGGGCAACTTGTTTTAATGGTAAACGAGACATAATATCTGTTTGGGGTATAGATTTCCCTTCTTTTCTAGACGAATCTATATTGGTAAGCTGACAAAATAATACACCATCTAACAATTCTAGCTGGTGCATTTGGTGGAATTTTCTTTGTTTCAGAGAAAATAGACTTTAGTGGCTCATGGTCACTGACAATTGTAAAAAATCTGCCAAAAAGATATTTATGATATTTGGTGACCCCAAATATGATAGCAAGTGCCTCATGGTATAATTGACTTTAGTTCCATTCTGCTGTGGTAAGTGATGCAGACTCAAAAAAGATGGGTTGTTCAGAACCATCAACAATGTGGCTTAACACTGCACCAACTCCATAGGAACTGGCATCTACTGTCAACACGACGGGCTTAGACGGGTCAAAAGGCACTAACAGTGTCCTTTCAGCTAATCGCTCTTTGGAATGTTGAAAGGCTTTTTCACACTCCAGGGACCCTGACCAGGCAACATCTTTCCTAAGTAGGTTGTGCAATGGTTCAAGCACACCTGCCCTCATTTCAATGACATCTACCTGCACCAGAAAGCTGAAATCCCAAAAAGTCAACTGACTTGACTAGGAATTCGCTTTTCTTAACATTATTTTCCTCTAACTTGGACAAAACTTTATTTAATGTTTGATGACAACTTTATTCATCCTTCCCTCCTAGTAAAATATCATCCAGGTAGGCACCGCATGACTCTATGTCCTTCAACAAACAATCCATCACCATTTGAAAAATCGCTGGAGCTGACGCAACACCAAACACCAATCGCTTATACCGATAAAGCCCCCATTGAGTGTTTATGGTTAGAAGATGTTTACTCTCCTCTTCCACCTCTAGTTGCAAATACATGCATTTGACAAATCTAATTTATAGAAATATTTACAATTGACAAATTTGTTGAAGATATCTTCTGTCCTCGGTATAGGATACTGATCTACCTTTACAAATGGATTTAATGTTACTTTTAGATCCACACAAAGGACAACCCTACCATCCATTTTTGGGACGCATACTGTGGGTGAGGCCCATTGGCTATAATTTGTTTTTTCTACAATGCCCTCAGATTCGAGACGGTTTAATTCCCCCTGGACATCTGCCCTTAGGACATAAGGCACCTCATATGCCCAGTGGAATACAGGGTTGGGGGAGAGATAATCAAGTGGGAAAGTTTCAAAAAAAGAGTAGATAGCAAGGGGGATTTCTTATTCTGCCAGAAATTGCTGGTATTGGAGGCAAGTTGGCGGATGTGGAGGACAATAGGATGGTTTTCGATTAGTATTCGAGAGGATAAAAATCTACCTGTGACCAGGAACGTACGATGGGTGAGAGGCATCTCCTTAGCTTCCACTTGAAGAGCGTTAATTGGCGTGGATCTCATAGCTCCCAAGCACACTCTGAGGGATTTATACTGGATTTTGTCTAATTTAGCCAAATTAGCAGCATCTCCATGCAATAATGATCCAAAATCCAGTCTTGAAAGTACCAGTGCTCTATAGAGAAGTAGTGCAATGCTAGGGTGTGAGCCATAGCGAACTTTAGTAACACACCTGATTATATTTATGAATTTTTCGCAAACATCAACCTGGTAATTGATGTGATCTCTCCATAGTAGCTTACGGTCAAACATGATGCCAAGGAGCTTCAACTTGTCCACAATTTTGAAGTTATAAGGACATAAGTTTATATTATCTGCTAAAGGAGTTGTACGTTTGCGAGAGAAAACAGTTACAGAGCTGTTAGATTCAGATAGGTTAAAGCATGGTTAAAAATCCATTCATTTAGAGAGGTCATTGCTTCAGTCATCTGTTCTATAGCCTGATTCAAGTTACAATGGAAGCAGTATACGGTGATATCGTCTGCAAATTGAAGAGTTTTAATATTTGGATGGAATTGTTGATTAAGTGAAGACGTATAAATAGAGAAAAGAGTAGGACTTAATACTGCTCGTTGGGGAAGCCCATTACAGACCATCAATGGGCCAATAGTTTTATCGCAATATCTGACTATTATTCTTCTATTAGTAAGCAAGTTTTTGACGGCCATAATGATCCGCATAGGAACTTTGATGTCCCTCATTTTGTTGATCAAAGTAATGATATTGACACTGTCAAAAGCGCTAGATAAGTCAAGGAAGGCCGCTAGCACATAATAATTTTGGGAGTTCTTCTATATATCAGACATAAAAGAACTGAGGACGTCAAAGGTGTTGTGGCCCTTGCTGAAGCCATGCTGGATGACTGGAAGATTATAATTTGTTTCAAGCCTCCATTCTAGGCAAGCTTTTATCATTCTTTCAAACGTTTTGGCAACTACTGAAGATAAAGCGACTGGTCTATGTGAGTTGGCTGAATCAGATGGTTTTCCAGGCTTAAGAATTGGTCTAATTATTTGGGTGGTCCATTCTGGAACCTTAATATCGTTTATACAAGTATTATTAATGATGTTAAGCAGTTTTGTATGGGCAGATCGAGGCAATTCTTTAAGCATGCTGTATTGTATACCATCTTGACTAGGAACAACTTTTTACTGGATTTGATTGCCGTTTCCAGTTCCATAGCCGTGAAATGTTGACCCATATTTGTGAGCTCAGCAGAAGCAAGATTCAATGGAGGAATGAATTGGGGAACCATGGGAGGGGTGACAGTTAGCAAATTCATCAACCCAGTCTAAGTTAGTAATATTACTAGAACTGAGTTTAATACCTGATAGCGCTCTGATTTTTCTCCAAACTAAGGATGTTGGCGTTTCTCTGTTGAGGGATTCACAAAACTGGCGCCAGCTATTTTTTTTTTTCTTTGAATATCCTTGTGCATTTGGCTGAAGCTCTTTTTACCTCTATTGGACCAATTGGGATTATTTTTATAAATGGAATATTTTAGACGGCTTTCATTCCTCATCCCACCATATTTGGGAGTGCCGCGTTTTCTTGACATTTTAAATTGGTCGCTGTATGCTGGTAAGGGAACGCGCTAGTAGTAGCTGCCTGGTTCAATAACTGAATAAAATCAGAATAATTTCAAGGCTCATTCGTAAGAAGCAGATTACTTATTGAGCTTCTACATAGGTCCCAGTTGGCTTTGGATGCTATCCAACCCTCACGGAAAGGCGGTAAATGCCCCTCAGCATCGCATCCTGTAGTATAATTGATTAAAATACAAAGATGATCAGAGCCAAGAGCATGATCTAGTACCCTCCAAGAGCAATAGTGAGTGAGGGATGGGGAGGTGACAGAAAGATCGGGAATGGAAGGGTTACGATGAAGGTAGGAGATCCATCATTGAGAAAGCACAGGTAACTATCATTAATAAATTCCAAGAAATTTCTACCTGTGCAGTCGGTATAGGAGGATCCGAAAACAATGTGGTGCACATTGAAATCGCCACCCAGAAGAAAGGGAGTGGGGAGTTGTGAGATTAAGGAAAACCAATCATCGGGAGCTAAGTTAAGGTTTAGCATAAAGAGAGGCAAAAGTCACAAGGGATTGGTTGATTTTGAGCGTAATTGCACATATTTGAAGACTATGGTTAAAATTATGAGTGAAATGTAGGATTTGATAATTGAACGACTGTTTTATTAAAATACCACAGCCATTGTAACCATCATAACGATCGACACGTATGAAATCGTATCCGCAAAACGATAATTGTAGAACGGGGTTGCACCAGGTCTCAGATAGAAGAGCGATATGAATGTTGTTATCTAGCAACAAAATGTCGTTTCTGTTTATTTGCTTGTAGGGATCTTACATTCCACTGCAGTATGTGCATCGAGGGTAGAGCCATTAAAGAATAATATTAAGGGGAAGAAATAAGTGTGGAAGGATAATAGGAAGACGGATATAATGAATAGATAGAAGCGTTAAATATTTAGCACAAAAAGAAAAGGAGAAATGAGAGTAGTTTTTGTGGAAGGAATAAAAATTAGTCATTTGAGGAGAGTTTATCATTAACCTAACTCCATGGTGTTTTGGTATTTGGCTTTTAAAGCGTCCACTATATCTTTGTTAATCTTGACAATATTATACAGCACTGAGCCAATCTGATCAACTATTTGTGTTTCAGTCATATTTGGGTTATTATTTATAATTTATATACTTTAATAATTTGTTAAGTGTATCAATATACTTTTCGGACTAGGAGACAGCGTAAGGGTTATAGGTGATAGGGTTTGTAGGAGGGTTGGTGTCCATGGAGATGTAGAAATAGGCTGGGAAGAGAGGTAGAGGAGGTTCGAGGCTTCTTAACAAGCATTTTTCGATAGGAGCTCGGTCGGAAGAGCGGTCTTCTTCCAATGGAGGATATTCAGAGAGAGATAGTGAACTGTTAGGGGCATCACTTTTCTTATTGGTCGCTTGCAAAGGTCTATAATTTATTGAAACAGCCGAGGCATAGGAAAATGCAGAATATTTCTTTTTATTTTCATTGTAAACCTGAATATATACTGGGCAGTCTGCCATTAGCTATGTGATTAGCTGAACAGTGAACACATTTAGGAGGACACATTTTATACGATTTTTACCTGTAGAGCGAATGTCCAGAATATCATTATTATTTAACATGTTATTGTTTTGGAACAACCACTTTCCAAGTAACATAGGATGAGCCCTACCCACATTATCTGTTGTTCCTTCAACAAAAACAAAATACAGACCTTTATCATCTGTACTAAAACAATTTTCACTCAGGTGCTTGTCTCTGCTGTCAATTTTTTCAACTTCTCTATGAGCCATTAAATCAGTTTTAGTCATATAAGAAATTTTAGAATATGAATTAGGTAGTTCAGTTAATAACCTTTTGTTTTTATTCACATTGGAAACTACAATCTTACTACTCTTTTCATCAATGTTTTCAAAAATATTGGAATACATTATCTTTCTGGGGTGTAAGTTCAGATTTTAGATCCAGATTTTGGGGGCGACCAATTGACATTTTGTTAGTATGAGAGGGAAAACCCTCTCATAAATTTTGGCCACTATCAAAACAATAATTTAATGGCTATTAGTATTAAGTTATAGAAAATAAAAAATAAAAAGTATGGACAAAAATGGTTGTAAAACACAGAGTTAAGAAAATAAGTTGAGATACAATCTACTACTTATTGTATAGAATAGCCGGGTTCAGAGAGCAAGAGATAAGACGCTTCACTAACAAACAACAACGAGCAACTTAAAACTTAAAAAGTTGTTTTTAGAAATATGCAGAAATTTATTTATACTAAACTTTTTACTTAGACAAATGTATTACTTTAAAATTGAATCATAATCTATATTATTATTTAATTTTAATTTTTACAGGCTGCTGCATAGCAAATTTCTTTATAAATACATACATAAGAAACATCATGAGTGGACAGCACCTGTTGCAGTGACTGCTATTTATGCTCATCCGATTGAGCACATATTTTCAAACCTTGTACCTCCTTTCATCGGTGTCCTCTTACTTGGTTCTCATATATTTGTTGCATATATTTGGTTTTCTCTTGCTATCATCAACACTCTTAATTCCCACTCTGGGTACCACTGGCCATTTTTTCCATCCCCAGAAAGCCATGATTTCCATCACCTAAAGTAAGTAAACCATTAGACTTTATCAATAGATAGAATGCACATTAACAAACCAGTTTTTATTATTGATTAATGTTGTTTGAATTAATTCAGATTAATTTTAATTAATCGTTAGATAAGATTAATTCACCTCAACTGTTTAAAGTGTATTTATATACAAAGTAGCATCACTACAATGTTAAGTTTTAAATAAAGCAATTATAAATTATGAATGTTATCCCGCTAAAATATTTAAAAAAATTGTTTTTCAATGCAGTATGATTTTTATCAAACAAATTATTTCAATTACCATTTTCAATTAATTTTAATTTTTGATGTAGATTTAACCAATGCTACGGAGTTCTTGGGATTCTTGACTGGCTACATGGAACGGACCTCACATTTAGGGCATCACCTCATTACAAGCGCCATCAGACATTCTTGACATTAAGGCCCCCTAGGGAAATATTTCCAGATGATCCTCTCTATAGAAAAGAGGAATAGCATATACACACATATATAATATAACATATAAATAAGAAACTTCAAAGTTATAAGATTTTTATATTTGTATTTGAACTGATAGCCCATGAGGAATGGTCATTGCACCAAACATTATGTGATTAAAAATTGTGATGTACTGTTATGTATGCGGTTTGAAGGGTATAAACTGAATCCCATGCAAAATTAGATGTAACACATATTTAGCTACACTTTATAAGACAAAATTTATATATATTTATATAAATATAAAATTAAATTATAAATAATTACTGTAAGCACAATTTATTTTTATTGCAATATTTTTTAAATAAAACCTTAAGAAAGTAGAGTTCCTTTCTAGAAAACTTTTTTTTTTATTCGCTTATTTATTATATCAACTAGATTATTATTTATGTTATTTTTAATAGAATGAAAAAATAGTTATTTACATGTCATTCCCTTTCAGTTATATTGTATTTTCTTTTCTTTTTTCTCCCATTCTATTTGTATAGTTGTTTATAGTTGCAAGTGATTTCTAAGTGATTAGGGAAAGAAGGGTTGTTGCGTTCAACAACTTATTGTTGTCAACTTTTGGAATTTGGATAAGTTCTTTTGAAATGCCTTTATTAAGATCTTTACAGTTTTCTTTCTAAACTTTTTTGAAAAGTTAAATCTTACTCACAGTTTGTAGTTTTCAATGATCCTGATTTTAAGCTAAAGCTCTAATCAGGTTGAAGGATTTACAACGATATCTCTCAACATGAATTGTAAGAGGCTCTTGTGATGAGCTTTAATCTTGAAATCTGGCTCGTTGAAAACAACAAACTTAAGATCCAGTGTATCAAAAAAGATTAAACCAACACACATCATTTCTAAAGATTTCTAAATAATCTCTATTCATTAATCAAGGAATAAATTATGTCAATCCTTGACATCTGGCTTTTTAAAAACTCTCTCTCTCTCTCTCTCTCTCTCTCTCTCTCTCTCTCTCTCTCTCTGTTTCTCTTACACTCATTGTATATTTATTTTTTTAAATTAAAAGGTAAAGTTAAAGCATGTTTTTTTCAATTTTTTCTTGAAAGATATAGTTTTTTAAATGTTTTGTAATGTTAAGAAATAACATATACTTTATATTTTTATACATTTTTGAAAAAAGGCATAGGATTACTGAAACAACAAAATTGCAATTTTCATTAAAAAAATAAAAAAATAAATAAAAAATATTTTAAAAAATAAAATGATATAAAAAAGGACAATAAGGGAGAAAAGAATAAAAATAATTACATACATTTTAACGGATCAAAATGAGTGGTGTTGTCCTTTGCAATAGTGTCATTTTTACTGCATATTAATCCATATAGGTTTACCAGTCACAATTGACCATATTAACCATTTTAATCAAGGATTTTGTTAATCTAAGGTTTTGGTTGGGATGAAAACATCTATCATATGGAGAAGATTCGAACCCTCGAATTTGAAAAATGGCAAACAAGAGGTAAAATTCAAAAGGTAGTAGGTTGAGATAGGGAGTTGGTGTCCGATGGATCAAAGTCACGATAGTTCAAGTAGTTATAGCAGTGGCGTATACAGCTGAAGGTCGTAGAATACCGCTCGTGACACTGACTTTTTTATCTCAACCAAGACCTTAGGTGAAAAGAATAATTGATTTACTGCATACATTAAAAAAAAAAAAAGTTAAGGTGGAGTGAGTATATCAATGCATTGATTCACAGTATGCGTGGTTTGAGTATAACCATCATTTTTCCACGACTCCTTTTTTTTAGAGTTGATACTGGGTATTGGTCTGAGAGTTCTTCACTGAAGATGGTACACTGCCGAAATGCGTTTGAGTAGTTCAAAAAATCCGTGAGTCAATGTACTCAATAAGTGACCCAGTTTCTGCATGAATATATTTTTTTTTATTATAAAATTCACCGCTTGGTGCACACAAACAAAATTTATTAGATATTCACTCCACAATTACAGGTGGGTACTGAAAATTTGAAAGATATAAGTTAAGTCCATTTATAAGAATATTTATAGATGGTATATGGATAATTACTACCCTTGTTGGGGCTACTTTTTTCATATTTTTCTCAATTAAAATTTCAAAGGCTATGCTGGTATTCAAACTCAGAACCTCTTATTGTTACAACTTACCAAGTGCTAAGCACCAATAATATTGGTCAACCAATTAATAACTAAAACATATTTATCACATGTAATGCAACAATTAAATATAAACAAGTTTTAAAAAAATAATTAGTTTTATTAAATAAACAATATAAAAATACATTTATATAAATGTTTATGTTACACATTATTCATTAATAATTTCAAACGCTTGGACTTAAATGTTAGAATGAATCACCCCAATGAAAACATAAGAAACAATTGACATAAGTAAATGTACTTATTGGTCCCTAAAGAAACAATAATCAACTCCGATAACACTTTTATAGAAATATCACAGCTTATAAGAATGTTCATTTGGCATTGAAGATATATAAAGTGTGTGAACAAGAAGCAAAATGGAAGACTGGAAATTTGCAATAACACTTATGACAGAGAGAACTCCTGAGCGGCTGATAGTAAATTAAATCTTTCTTCTATAGTAACAACATATTACAAGTAACGGAAAACATTATACTGTACATTCACTTGAGAGAAGTAGTAAAATTAAACATATCATGCGGTTATACGATGTCAGATCGGATGTTTGTACATGCGAATTGGATTGTCAGACAAATTAGTGAAATTTGACCAATTCCCTTGGTGTAAATAAAATAATGGTGTATAAATGCCATTTTAAACTGGACAATCAGACTAATCGAATCACTTAAGAAATAGAAGAAATTATACAAATCAACATTACTGTATTATTTTAAATAATGTTAAACTTGTATATAAATTACACCAATTGAAGACTTTAAAATGTTTAAATTGAAGTTAAAACAATGGTCAATGTGACGTATCGACCGACCGAATCATTAACTGAATGAAGTATTGTCCAAACTATCCCTCGGATGGATTATTTATTGTCAAAAATATTTACTGAGAAAATAATGCAACTTCCGGTTTTGTTTACCTTGTGTTATACATGCCATCGATGAGGTACATTCTATGATATTGCTGCCTTTCTGTAAACTCAGTACCGCGTTTGTAAATCAGTTTAATCATGAAGATGACAGCAGGAAATAAAAGTATGAACAGCACAATTGGAAGGACGTAGTCTCTACCGGTTGTCGGCGACTCAATAAACGACTCTGCATCTTTCAATAATTCGTCCTCCACTATCATGGTGAAAAATGGTTTCTTTTTTCTTTTAACTATAGTCGGTTCAGTTTGAGTCACATGAGTCTTTTTGATTGCAGTCGGAGTAGAAACGACCAAATCTGTCAAGTTTAAAGCAGCAGTTGAGTTCAATAAAGGCGGTTTAGTCCCGTTTGAAAAGGTTTCCTTAACAGCACTTGCTACTTTTCCGTCATCTTTGCTCTTCCAGTCTCGATTGGAAGTTTCTTTTTGAGAAACTTCGTGGGAGAACGTCAACGGCATGGTATCATTTACGCCTTTTCTCGATTTGATTTTACCTTTGGTCTCTTTGGCTTCCTCGTAGACGCTGTTTATCCATAATGGCCCTCCTTCCATCGCCTTCACTAAGCTGGACACCGAACTGTTGGACGTTTTCTCCAGACCCGTTGGAGTGGAGACGCACTTCCACTCCGTCAACACGCTGACTGAAAGCACGCTGAGAACAAGAGAAATCCTCATCTCTTTAAATATTACATCAAACTTAATGGCATAGATCGAGGATGGCACGGCATACGACCAAAACTCAAAAAAAAAAAACACTAAACTCTTAAGGAATCTAGAGTAACCTCCTTCCTCGTGGATAGTCGTTACTCGTTAGTGGTTGCTCAATAGTCAATAGCACATAGTTCATTCGGCCAAGAGCGAACGTCACCCTGATCTAATTTAAACTAAAACCGTCTAATAAAAAATGGTCTATCCAAATTTTATATTAAAAATAATAATAATAAACGTGTACGGTTAATTTAAAATGGACTGGAGTACGCTGCATGAAAGTGTCCGTGTTTGACACTTGGGATAAATCATACCTAAATTTGTTTCAGACGAGTTACTTCGGCCTGGAGCCCTTTTCCTTACGGTTTTGTACATTTTTCTGAAATTTAATATTTATTATATTTTTTCAATATCTTCGGGAACCTGGATGTGAGAAGAGGTTACCTGGGTTCAACGGTTTCTTCGCTTCACTTGACACTGCCCCAGCCCCAGTCTTGTTGACCATGTCGGAGCTTTTTTTCCTGTGTTTAGTAAATCGCATGATGTAAATAAAAAGCTTTTTTCTTGAAGCGAACAAAATAACGACAACAGGTGAGTGGCCGAGATGTTCGAACCAACCCAAACCCTGTTGATTAACAGGCCTGGCTCGTTTTGCAAGATTCTGAAGACGCACCATCGTTCAGTTTAGTTATGCCCCTATCATTTAACGTTATCCGATAATAAGAACTTTTTGATTTAATTCATATTTCCATTGTTCAGACTAATTTTAAACTAAGTGTCGACTAACTTGTATGAATCTAATTAGTGCAGATGAATGGTACAGCTACTTATGACCATGTTTAGGAGGGAAAATATATTGGCACAACATAATTTGATCTTTAAGTGAATGTTTTTTATTTAATTTTCAAACTCTACTTAAAACAAATGATAAATTATTGTATAAAGGCGGCTCCAGACATGGGGTATCCGTCGAATACCAAATGCTGATTGCCACCGAACATTTGCTGTCTTGAGATGCTTGTCTTGGAATTCCAAATAGACTGCTTATGTATACACACATACAGGGTTTGTACAACCACCCAGTTTGTGTGGAAACAGCGAATACCTATTTGCCAAGTGTCACACGAGACCTCAATTTACTACAAATTGTGATGGACGAATGAAATTCATTGCTGCAGCTGCGATTACTGTTTTGTGTAGTGGCTACAAACACAACCACAAATTAGTGAAAGATACTGTTGCCTCATCTTATTTTGAACCTTTTCCACACATCAAAAACCTCATTCTAATTTTTATTAGGTTGTGAAGAGGTGTTCCAAATTGTTGGTACAGATCAAAGAACTCCAAGACTTTTCCATTCCTAACCAACAGAAACAATGCTATGTTGTCCTTTAATTAATATGTCTATACTAGTTAAGAATTGTTTGTTGCTGAAAAATAAATAGAAATGTATACTTACTGTTTGTTAAGTGATGATTTCAGTGGATATACATACAGTACAGTTGATTCCCAAATGTGTGGATGCTTTGAGTTTGCCTGCTTCACAAATATTTGTGCACATTGAAGCAGACAAGAAAACTAATAATTAGCCAAGAAAGGTGAGCACCGAATATTGTTGCTAAGTGAATGTCCAAGTACTCAAACACACTAGTTGGAATTCGGCGAATCTTGCTCGGTATTGGGTGTATCCTGCATGTCTGGAGCCATCTTATGCATACAATTATTGGTGCAGCTTTCATTCAAATTAAAAACATCTTTTATTAATTCTTTTGGTATTGTCAAAAGTTGAAGCTACAATTGAAAGAATTTCAAATGAAAACTTGAATGTTTGAACATTTTTTTTCTTTTCAGCAGAACGCATATTCTGATATGGAAGCTGCACAGAACAGGGGCAACGTATGCAGATTTCATCCGTTTCATGGTGAGAACATAATTTTGAATGAAGACAACACAGTCGCTTTCAGGAAGACGAGTTTTGCAAATGGGCTTACTTTCAGTGCTGAGCCACTCCTCCCAGGTGAAATATTCCTTGTAGAAATAGAAAAGAATGAAAGAGGTTGGAGTGGATATATGAGGTTGGGCCTTACTCAGTTAGATCCACAGAATATATCACAGAGCAATGACCTCCCTCGTTATGCCCTCCCTGATCTGACAAACATGAGCAACTCATGGATTTATGCAATTACAAAAAACAATGCGTATGTTTTTGATGTCGACCCTTCCATGCCTATTGACTACATTGTAAATGTTAATAGCAAGCCAAACCACAGTGAAACAGTTCACACACCACGTGGACTCATTCATAGAAACGATTTACGACCACCGCTATTCACCGAATGCAAGGATATTCTGCCAACCGACGTAGGGAGTAGGATTGGAGTCTTTTTTGTCCCAATGAAAAATTGCCCAGCTGGTGATTTGGCTGAAATGCATTTCGTCATCAATGGAGAATTCAAAGGACCATGCACAATTAACATTCCTTACAAAGATGCACCACTTTATGCTGTAGTTGATGTTTACGGAACTACCAAACAAGTTCGCATAGTTCAATTGTGCGGTGTGACATCACTTCAGAGTGCTTGTAGAGAGACTATCCTTCGAAACCTCAGTGTTAACAATGTTTATGATCTTCCCTTACCGAAGATACTAAAAGATTATATCCTGTATAATTAATATTGTAATAATTAACAAACTATATATATGTATTATAGTGATATTCTTTATTTCCATTTTCTTTATGACATTGTTGTGCCAAATGAGGAATAAACACTTCACTGGATTTTGTCTATGTTTTGTATTCTAATTTGTAGTTGCAGCCGCAATTGTCTAAATTCGAGCAACACTTGTGACTGGAACTACAAATTCATGATTCCTCTTATCACGCACTCAAAAACAGCCAAAACAATGATAATTACAATGTTCTAAAGCACTATTTCTTTTTGTCTGGCCAACTCCTAAACCAATAATCAACAATATAGAATTACAGGTATTCCAAAATGACCTGAATCATACAATAAATATTTTAATCAATAAATGGAAATATTTACACTTCAAAAAACATGTTGACCATCAAAAGATAATAAGCTAAATCCTACAGTGAACTCAATCCTATTTAGAGATAATATAAAAATAAAGTCTTGTCATTTAGGTTCAATTCTTGCTACAACATTCCATCTTCTTCATTGAACATTGCATAAAGCTTTTTACTTAATTCGGGACCAACACGACTCTTACCAACTGCATTTTGCCTTTTCTTAACCTGAAACAACAAATTTTTAGTACAGCATATTTATTTTTGTGTAGGTTTTGTTTTGTAAATCTTTTATAATTGGTACAGCTTTTTTTTCTTTGTTAGCAACTTTTGTGCCATATCTGTGCTTTCTTTATTTCAGTTTTATAATCATAATATTTTTTCGTTTTATTATTTTTGTTTGGTTTTTAATTTACATTTAAAAGAAAGAAGAAAAACTACAGGAGTTGCAACACGGTTGGCCACTTGCTTGTGATCTACAATAGGCAAGTGGACAACCATGTGGCATTTTGATACTCTTTGTTTTTTATGTAATTTTAATTAGGAATTAACATATGTTAATTATAAAACAAATAAATTAAGCAGAAATATGGTACAAAAGTTGGTGGAACTTTGATATTCTATTTTGGCTTAATAAACAAAACTTACACAAGATCAATATGAAGGATAGGAAAAATGAAAACAAATTATTATCAGTACAAAGACTTACATAAATATCTTGAAGAAGAAGTTCTTTGCTCAATTCGGAACTGACTGAGTTATAGGCCTAAAAGGCAAACATTTGTGAACAATGTATGGTTTTTAAATTTAAATGAAATTTTTACATCAAATAATGAGTATGGAGAGGGATAAACTTCAGCTATTGATTTTGCTGTGTCCAAGTTGGTAAGGTTAAATTGGCTGAGTTGTTGCACCCAGAGTTGTTGGAGACCATTAAGGTCCTTATCAACTCTAACACAATCCTTTGACTCCCCCCTCACATGCCACTTGATTTTGTCTTCAACTTTGTTAGTAATCATCCTGCAAAACAACTCAGTTAATAGATGTGTTTTTCAATTTTCATAACAATCAAATTGAGGGAAATCGTAAGTGATATTAGGTAAATTCCTGCATTTTCTTATGTGATTGTAAAATAATTTTTTTAAATTTTTTACATGGGAGGATGAGGTTGATTCTAGCCTATTATGATTATCAATGTCACGATAGCTCATTGACAGAGCTTCTGAGCACAAATCTGTGGGATAAATATATACTTGTTACTAGCCCGTTCTTCTTTAAGTAATAATAAAATTTAGATAATAAAACAGTTTTTTTCTTTTATTTTAAATATGAATTGCAATAATTTTTTATTGAGTAGTGTTTAAAACAATTTAACTAATTATTGGGTTAACCTACACCAGTTAATTGTAGTTGATGTATAAGTAGCATGTACGATGAATAGTATCGATTGTAACGATTATTAGGATTTGCATACGATATGTAAGAAGATGCCATTTATTCAAAAGACAATTCAATAAAATAATATAAAAATTAAAGCAAAGTTTCAGAAGCTGAACCATAAAAGTAATCATAGTACAGTAAAACCTCCATTACCCGGGGTTCGATTATCTGAGGATCCAATTATCCTGTCCCCAAGTCTCTGTATACGTATATTATGTATACAGATATATATTTCACGAAGCAACAAGTCACTTCTGATTTGAGGAACACGTCTTTATCTTGTTCCTATGAAACTCCTACCAGTATATTTACAATGAACATATTAATGCCGCCGTTCAGGAACTATGCATTACACCCTTCCCGATATACAGAAGTCGTTCCTAAAGGAATTTTTATATGAATTTTTGAAGAAATTTTTTTAATCAAAACTCTATTAGATACATATTAATAAAAATCATATATACATATGTACACGTGTCTTCTTAATTCTCTTTAAATTAACACATTAAAAAATAAATTCCATTACCCTGGGTTTTCGATTTTCCTTGTACCCCACGGATTATTCATTACGGATAATGGAGGTTTTACTAAAATTATAAACCTAAAATATTACACAGAAAACAAACACATTGAGTGAGTAGAAATACTTTGATTGAATATAAAAAACATATTTTGCATTGTATAAATTCACCCACATCCTAAATGTATTTGTTAAATGTAAACAATGTTTGTAAATCCCAGGCCCTGAAGATGATCTCAATAAAGATCGAAACATTGGCACGATAAAGAAAATGTTTTTCTGAAACCTACATCACACCAGACCGCATCTCATGATTTCTGAATAATTAAAATTATAAATTACAAATGTATTACAAGAAGAACAAGATGAGACCTTTCAAGAATGAGAATGAATTAAACAAAAAAAAAAATCAACCAATAAATAATAACTTTTAAGTATCTTCAATTTTTAACCTTCTCTATGAGGTTCTGATAATGACTATTTTGTGAACATATGAATAAAAAATTAAATAAATTTAACTAGAAAATAACACTACTAGCTAAAAACTGAAAGTAGTCTTTAATATTTAGAAAAAGTTGAAGTAATAAAGACAATGGATAATATAAAAATAGTAAAACTTGCAGGTAAAAAAAACTGGACTGTTTGGAAGTTTCAGATGTCTTTAGTGTTCAAGAACAAAGATCTCACGGATATTGTAAATGGCAATGAGCCTGAACCAGAATTTCAGAAAGGTATTTCAGAGTCAGAAGAGGATGCAGTAGTCAGGCACCAATGCCTCCTTAAAGAATGGCGAAGTGATGATACTGAAGCTCAGAAGCTAATTATGTCTTCAATAGAGGATGATCCTCTACTATACATAGCTAATTGTACAACTTCAAAGCAAATGATGGACAAACTTGAATCAGTGTATGGTGAAGTTCACATAAGGGCACAGGACTCCAAATCTTCTAGAATGGGATCAACAACAAGCATCAAGGAGGAGGGTACAAATATTGAATCTTAATTATTCATGTGCAAATCAAGTAATTTCTGCTCACACTTTTAATTTGGTACCCCATTTTTATAGAAATGTTATCGCACTGCATATACTGTAGAATAAAACAATTGTTTAAAAAATATATGTGGAATATTTTAGTTCAATAAACAATTGTTTGAAAGAGAAAAAAAATGGAATATTTTAGATTGACAGTACAATAAATTTAAATTCAAATTGTGAACCTATTTTGTTGTTACATTGTACGCTCAGTTGGTGATGTTATCATGTTTTTGGTGAACCTTACGAGTTTACCTTTTCACTATGGCTTAATTAGTCATTTGTTATTTAAATTAAAATATCTAAATTTTATTATTCCGTATAACTTATGTCAAGAATTTTGTATATGTCTTATTATTATTTTTCTTATTTCATTATTATTATATTACAATATTTTTATTACAATTAATACTTATATACTCATATTTTATATACCTGTATGGAAGTTCAGAAATTATCTTGGTTAACTGTTGTATCAAACTGACCAAATCATAATAGTTATTAACATTAATCACTGATATACCTGTTTTCAATTCCATTTCAACCATTGCCCTCTGAATCATTTTTCTAAAAAAAAAAAAATAATAATAATAATAATAAAAATAAATAAATATATGTGTGTGTAATATTGTCATATCAAATTATGTATTAGCTTCGTAATATTTGCAATGGGACTTCAAAATCTACCCGGCATACTAATAAATGGGCTTTGGACACCAATACCTCTGCTTTTGAAATCCCCTTTAAAAAAATTAAATAAATAAATGTAAATAAAACACTGGTTGAAAAAATATTTAAGTGTCCATCGAATAAATAGTTGTTTATTGTAGCCCAAAACAAATATACATGCCTATTATAAAAATATTTTTCTAGGTTTAATATTGAAGACAAATAAATTGTCATTGTCAGTGGCCACAACAGTTAAGACGTTTGCTCAGTTCTACAACATACAAATAGGCTTTTTTTTCCAAAAACATTGGCACACCGAGTGTTCATATAATCTAGTAGTTGAAGTACCCTTGTTAAAAATAAATAAATAGAGTAGGAAATTTTATATATCTTGAACATTAGAGCATGAATATGTTTGATACATTAAGAAAATGCAATATAATTAACCACATCAAAACTCAATAACAATTAAATTTGAACAATTTAATTAACAATGAAAAGTTACCTGTTAATATCAAAATTTAATTTTTGTTTTCTTCGCAATGTTGACCCATCATCATCTTTAGATTTATTATTTGCTTCACTTATTGTCCTTTAACAAATTAAAACAAACAATACTTAACATTGTAATGTATATGTCATAAAATTAACACTATCGGTAATGATAACAAAACACTTTACTTTACATATTCATCCAGAGAGAACACTGCAAGGTAAATTCTGAGTTGGGAAAACACCGTTTTATATCTCAAGAATGTACTAAGTAATGTTTGTTCTTTAATTGAACCTATAAACCGTTCACAAGGCCAGCAAATAAGACAGTGATCTACGTTTTCTTTCCCATCATGAGTACCAGGCTTAAGACAAGAAAACATTAAACAATTAGTAGTAAAAACAAGCAATTTATTGCACTCACAATTGCTCGTTCCCAAGAAATTCCGGCTTCATTGAATATCATATCACCAACCCTCAATTTATAACTGGGGACTGCCTGTAATATTTCATAAGCCTTTTCCCCCCAATTATAGTTAAAGAGATCTTCACTCATAATCGTTGTAATAAACTGGGAACAACACAATGATCTTAAACTAGAAAAAAAAAAGTACAAACATTTTCTCACCTTGGAACATTCACCAGGCTTAATTCGCTTCTCAACTTCTTGTAATACAGCTTTTTTTTCTGAGCTTTCTTTCATCTTTTTCTCATGAGACAGTTTCTGTTACAAAATTTTTTTAAAAAGAAGAATCATCATAATGATATCTGATGGGTGAAAGTACATAAATTCAAAATCATTCCTTTCAAGAAAAATAATATCTACTAACTACCTACAAGTTGATGCTGTAAATATTAGGTAATTGGGTATGTTGCTTTGAAGTCTAAATATGTTTTAACATTTTTCAACTTATAACACATAATAATAGTCAAAATCATGCCTTAGATCTCATAGTGAGTAAGTATTATGCAATCCTATATGAGAAGTGTACATCAGTATATGTGAATATAATAGTTTTTATTTTATTCTATAATCCTTAATTTTTCTCTTCAAATTATTCATCAAAGAGAAACTGTCTTGTAAGTTGCAAACAACTATTGACCCAAAAGCAAAATAACTTTTAAAATTGTGAATTGCCCTCCTTATTCCCTTATTCATTATGCTCTAATAATGCCTTTTTTCTCTTTTTTTTTAGGGGGAAGGGAACACTGTTCTAAGACAATGAATTGTACAAATAGTCAAAAAATGCAGATGATTTCAAATAAAATCAAAAGCTTGGCAGAAATATCTTTGAAATAAGAAATACCCCCAACCAGGATCGCTACATCAGTATAAACAAAAAATTATTGGAAAAATGGTAAGGATAGGAACAATATTCCACTGACTCTCACACCTGTCCATAAGCTATATAAATAAAATGTGGGATTTTTTCTTACGCTTAATGTGTGCAAACCCAGACCAATTTGGTTTTTGCTCTCAACATTTCACTATTCAGCAGGTGTGTTGTAGACCACATATCCTCTTCCCTAGAGTGTAAAGAATACCGTAAGGGGAACTTCCACCCTCTACTGTCTTTGTATCCTTTGCAGACAACACAGCTGTGCTTTCTTCTGATCTATATCCTGCAATCGCCTCAGAGGAGTCCAGGCATATGTACAAATGGTCAAATGGAGCAAACTTTGGAGGATAATAATAAATACACTTATGTTACAATTACCCTTAGAAGCAAAACCCCTAACACAATATTCTTTAACAACATTCCTATCTCTAAAACCAACTGTGTACGCTATGTTGAGTTCTATCTTGATACAAGCTTAACCTGGAACCGAAACATATAAATAACTGATAAATAAATAAGGAACTGAATAGATGCTTCAGTCTTCTCTATAAACTACTTGGACGGAAATCTAACATGTCGACAATAAACACTGACACTCTACAAAACATTACTGAAACAGATTTGAACATATGTAATAGAACCGCTAAACCTACCAACATCCAATTAATTCGGTCCTTCCAAGTGTCAGAAACAGAGTCAACCCTAGTATGTCTCCAATACCACCCTTCACAACGACCTCAAAATACCCTTTGTAAATAAATTAATCCACACCAAATTTTCCACATCCCATGAAAAACTATCCTTACATCCTAATGCATTTGCCCATTCCAAGTCCAGCAGTATTCATCCCTACACCACAGTAAGCGATTGAAGCGGAGATGGTCCCAGGACTTCCTAATAATAGTCCTTAAAAAACTATTCGGAAACTGGGAGAACACCAATGGTTGCTGGCTCCTCTCAGGATATATACAATTGATAAATATTGTATAACATTACAAAATGTATATTTGTACAAATGGTAACATGTTTAAAAAATGTGTGCAAAGTAGTGAACACGTTTACCTTTTTTTTGTTTGTTGATTTTATTATTGACATAGATGAATTCGTTGGTTTCAAAATTTTTGTGGAGTTGGTCTGCAGTTGATGCGAGTCATTCGAGTGGTTGGATAATGGAATTTCTATGATTTTGACTGTCTCCTCCTCATCGCTTTCAGACATGGAATGAATTAAGTTTCGTCCTTTGCTGGCATTACCACACACGTCAATTAATTTTCTCCTCGGTGCCCCAGGCAAGGGGGAAGACAGAGGCGAATTGTACAACTCTTCCATTTTCAAATCTTTAACAGAAGACAAACTGGTGAAACAGTTAGCCACTCACAAAGATAACGAAACCAAAAAAATAAACAAAACCAACTAAACGGCATCGATAGTCTCGAAATATCGCTCAAATAAAGTGATGTTTAATGTCAGAAATTGGTGAGTCCCACCATTGAACAACTTGGGTCAAAGATCGGTAGACTGAAGAGACTAAAGATTTTTTGGAACTTTGGATGGGTCGTATTCAAAAAGCAAATCGCCCATCCTCTTCTGCTCCCACGATTTTCGTGATGGAATTGACGACTGACTAGTCGGATAAAATGCTGTAAGGTAAGTCTTCGTTCGACAGCCGCGTAATGTTCGGATTTTGTAAATTCCTGGAAGAAAGAATACGTCGCTCGTCCATCTTTGCTATTTTTAAAGTAACTTTATTTAGTTTATTTGTGGATTTTGACCGTACTGTGACTGTATAACGCTGGTGGTTTCGGTTCATAGATTTGTTTTTTAAGCAAATACTATTTCCTTCATCGGCTTTTAAAATAATATTGTTGTTACTTTAATTAATTATACTTTTAATCTCAGGTCTTGGTAGAGTTGAAGAAGCAAATGTCATGAGCGGATTCGGTCCCAGGACCTTAGAGTGATGAGCGCTGTTTCAACGCCTAAACCATTGCGGCAACCGAAGCCCCTACGTAAACTTTTTATTTTATATATTTCTACACACTTGTTACAATTTGGATTTTAGTAAAACATGTTTTCATTAATTCCCTTCCGATCACTGCACTGGCTCCGTATGTCGCACTTTCGCCTTCTGAACAGGGAACTATGTATTTGGTTCCGTTTAGGTGAGACGCTCAAAATGCATGGTAGTTCCTGTGTCTTGAACATAAATATATTATTCATTATTTGTCGAAATTGGGCAATATTATTTTTAAGAAGGCTTCGTATTTTACCAAGTTATTTAATTAATACGGCACATTTAATTAAAGACTTGAGAGATTAATATCAAAAGCCGGCGTCGAACCGCAAACTGACGATGAGGGAAGTTCGAAATCGATTATCGCACATGCACGAAACGTATGTTCGGAATTCTTCCCGCCTGTCAGTCGTCCGCTAGCACAGTCCGATAACAGGGAGGTTCTGTAACAGATAAAAATAAAATCTTTCGTGTAGAAGTTATGATACAATTAATTTGTAATTGTACGACAAATAGGCAATTACTATTATTACTGCGACATATCAAGTGTCCCCGCATCTATTGCAAGTATCTATAAACTTTATACAATATCTAATTTGACTGAGTATTAAATTAAATTTAAAATTGTTAATATTTTTTTGAACTCGGTGTAATGTATGACACCTAAATGTAGAGCAAAACAAAATATACTTAAAACGTGAATGCAATAAGACATGTTTATTTAAGCTTGTAATTATATTAATAATAAGAATCGATGAAGTATTTTGGTACAGAATATTCTCAGGGCTCGAAAATTTGTTAATTGTTCTTAACCGGTGCGTTACTAATTTTAACAGCTGCTTCAGCCTTCAGCAGCAGCACCAATTATTCAGAAGTCGCGCATGTGCGGCTCACGCCTCTCTCTACCTGTCCGCATAAATCGAGAGGCTTCGGTTTATATTAAAAAAATCATCTTTTGTCTTAGTTTTTGCTTCTAAACGAGTTTATTACTTAATAACGTTTCAAGATCTTCAAGTGCGATTCCTGTGCAAGGAATAAATACTCATTTTACTACGTCAAATCGTTTTTTTTTGCTTATATACGTATACATATAAGGACGTAAAATATAATAAATCATGGCAGAGACCGAGTACGTTATGAACTCGCATGACGACAACGGCGTGATGATACATTCCGAGTGTACGAGCATCGGGAACATCGCTGTTGACCAGGCCGGCCAAAGTGGCAGGAAGTGGTACAGAAAAGCTGCACACAGGTATCGTAGTTTTAGTTTGTTATATTTTGTCGCCAGATGTTAAACCCTCCCTCGACAGCAAAATTTTCACATATATACAAAACAATACTTAAACATGGATAACTGTGGGTTCAACCAAACCTTACGATCTGCAGAATGTATGGTGATTAGTGACCGTTAGTCGAAGATTATTCGGAAATCGTGAGATGTGGTCTGGTGTGACGTAGGTTTCAGAAAACATTTTCTTTATTGGGCCAACGTTTCGATCTTTATTGAGATCATCTTCAGGGCCTGGGATTTCCAAACATTGTTTAAATTTAACAAATACATGTTAAATGTAAACAATGTTTGTAAATCCCAGGCCCTGAAGATGATCTCAATAAAGATCGAAACGTTGGTACGATAAAGAAAATGTTTTTCCGAAGCCTACGTCACACCAGACCGCATCTCACGATTTCCGAATAATGATCTGCAGAATCTACATCCTACAGTCCCTTATCCTTAGATTCAATGTTATGTTTCCATCCGCACCATCCATAGACCCTTATAAAAGATATCGCAAGATCCGGCTACAACAAATCCCTCTCTAACCCTCATACTAATTTCCCACATTTTTTTTCCAATAAGGCAATAATCCTCCGCGACGTCGACCTGCTCTCAGAGAATGAGAGTGCGTAATAACTAATTAATTCTTTAGGAGTGAGTATTAACGTAGTTGTCTCTGTAATCAAAGTAACTTATTGCGCCTCGCGTAGATTGCTTATACTTGGCTTAGATTGCTAAAAAAAAGTTTTTTTCTCTCTTTTTATGAATATTTTAGTTGGATTATAAAAAAATGTTTACGCGTTTTTCTTGATAAGTGAAATTGTGTGACTAATCGAAAATTCACTAGTTGTCGACTGCTGCTTTCTCAGAATATCAGCGTTCTACATTCTTTTGTTGGGGATGAAATACGACAAAAGTTATCCGTTTGATTTGTTTTTCTTTGCTTTTTCACGTTTGCTGATTTATATAATCGTATCAGTAATCGAAATGCGCTAAAAGTTCGTTTATGGTATGGGAAATTATCAAATTTTTCAGTTGAGAAAGAAATTAGGTCTCGAAGGATTGTTTCATAACTTCATGGCCGTGTTATCTCAGTTTGATTTTATCTTAAACAATAAACTTATCATGTTCTTTCGATTACACAAATTGTGTGACAAATCGAAATTCCACCAAAAGTTGATTTTTTTTTTGTTGAATGTCTTGTCAATTAAGAAACTTTAGCAGGAAAATATTTGTCAAACTGTTATATTACTTAATATCAATTCCCTTAAAATTTTATTATATATTTTCCTATAAAAAATAAACTTTTTAAAATTCACCTTATGAATAGAGAATACGTGAAAACTCAACGTTTAAGATATTTGTAAGCTGAATTGTTTATTTATGTTAATTAATTTTTGACCTCGTTTAATATTTCGTCTTTGTTTTTATCTTTGTATCAAATGTATGAAAGGCATTAATTTTTTTCCATTTTACGACGGTTTAAAAATAATCGAGAGTAATGATTTCATTGTTAATAGAATTTAAATTGGTCCTTGTCTGATGAAGCTGTTTCGTTATTTTGTTGTTTGATACGGAAGAAACGTTCATTCTGAAAAGTTTATCGTTTCGTTCTCGTCGGTAAAAGTTTGCCCGTCTTAATAAATTATTTTTATAAAACCCCTTAAGATAATGTTTTAATAATTTTTGTTCGTTAAAATGGTTTTAAAATCGTCCTGACACAATTTCTTTTCCACTATCGCCTTATCTTAGCGCTTAATTGAACTTACAGTATGTATTTATTTTGCCTCAGCATTAATGTAATTAATGAGAAGCTTCAAAACGCTATAAAATTTAACAACAGTGTAATAAAAGCGACTGCAAACATCGTAATCGTACCGGGGTTTATTGTACCGAATTTACAACAAGAAAAAAAACTGTTTTAAGTAGTTAAGAATAATTATTTTTTTATTCTACAGATCGATATAATTTCAAAGAAAAAAATCGCTTTTTTTCAATTAAGATATAGATTTAGGGGTGGCCTAAACTGTATCCTTTAAGAGCTTTTTTTTATTTATGCAGAAATTATCGAATTCAGGTGAACAGGAAAACAAGATTGTCAATAAATTTCAAATCCAGGTAGCCTTTTGGTACACTGGCCCATAGATAACTTTTCCACTGTATTATAGGTGGTCAAAAGTCATTTCTGGACTACAAAATCTCACTCAGTATGTTTGCCTAACAACCAAAATGAAAGAAAAATAATTTATACAGATTTATTAGATCTTTTCAAAATCATACCAACTACTTCTACCGTGAATACTCTTGCTTATAACTTCGAAAAGGTATGCTTAGGCCGGCTTTATGCTCATTTCGTTTTATACCTCCCCGGTATGCTAAACCTACCCAGGTTTGTTATACCTACCCCGGTTTGCAAACCTATTATTGGCTAAACAACGGATAAAATAGTTGGTTATCACCCGGCCGATAGCTATCCCCTTTTAAATTTCACCAATAATTATTTATTTTTATAAATAGTTTGATTTATTTATTTCCAACATTAAAATAATAAAGAATACACATTCGCTTTGAAATAAGCGTTTATTTTTTATTGAGTATTAGTTCGATCGTGTGCGGAGCCAGGTCGCCGAGTACTGCAATAGACGCATTTTCACTCATCCGCGTTTGCCCCCCTGTTTGAGTTCAAGGGGAGATTGGGAATGAGGAGAGAATGGGAAGTAGTAAGCCACATGGGGGAAAAAAAGCGTAACATGTTGCAAATTTTATCATACTACAATTAATATGACCAATTGTGGCTCCTAAACAAATATGGATTAATTTTATCAAACTGTCGTTACCTCGACAATACCTGGTCATACTATCTCCGCGTGTTTAAGTTCATACGTAACACTGATGGTAGGCACATGCGATACAGAAAGGTCTGATTGCTAAGCAGATAAAAGAAAATGCTTCGAAGATGTAAAGGTGTTTCCCGTTATATATATTTGATACCTAACCCCCGCGAATAACGAGATTCTGCTGTATGTCCAATCCTGTAGTGCATAGAGGAGATGGTTTGTATATTTTTATAAAATACATCCTTTCTTATTCCTAATGTTTTCTGCGTGCAGGAGACTGTGTTTTCACATGTTACAGTCCTTAATTACCATAAGAAGTTTAGCTTTCTTATCCAACTTAATTTCTTATTGCATTATATCACAACGAATGTTATTAACTGAGGACAAAGACAGTAGATAGAATGCGTTATTAACACATGTAATTAATCTTTCAACCAGCGTACATAGATGGGCAAGTTTCTTTTGGTAGCCGGATTACGCAAGAAATCATCATTGTCCTACTTTGAAAAATGGTTTTTCTTTCAACAATTAATTGTGAAGGGCGACGAAAACAACACGTCTACATTTTCACTCGGCGAAAAACCGGAATCTAAAATAATTATTTTACAACTGAACGCTAAAAAAAGAGAAAAAATGGTAGGCAGGCTAGGAGAAGGTTTAAGTTTAGTTTAAGTATATCCGTGCCACTTAACTCTGGATAATTTAAACACCGGTTAATGCTCAGGCAGCATAAATTGTTTAACCAGTGGGTAGGGATATTCCAGGTATAACTGGGAACTAATCCACAGTTAAACGAACACACCCGACTAAACTTCAATCGGAATGAAAACCTTGGTGTTGTATCACCCAGACTCCCAGAGAAAATCCCTGGATGATGATGCTATTCTATATATTCTCCTGTAAAAAAATTCAGCTAAACCTCAGAAACCACCTGAGCCTTTCTTCACCTACATGTCATAATTAACCGTACATTTACGTGATCAGACAGGTCATCCCACTACCAAAACCTCGAAAGATCATACTTCACCTTCAGATGATCGGCCTATCTCACTCTTAGCTTTTCTAAGTCCTAAGTTTTAATGTACAGTTCGTAAATTAAATCTAATTTGGTTTTTGGTTTCAAGTTGGTAGCATGCACAGCTACTTCATACGGTCAACCATAATTCTAACTTAAACACATTTAAATGGTAGTTGACAACGAAAAGGCTCACTTTATGAGGCATATGTCTTATATATGTATGTATAAATCCGGTTCATACAAGAACTACAGTCATTTTTAGTTAGCATTGGAGCGTGTATCAGGTCTCCGTGCTGGGTCCTATATTGTTTTACATCTTCATGAAGGACGAAAATCATTAAATTATCTTCGGGCATGTCACTGTTCACCCCTTACCTAATTGTTACCACATCAAGGTCCAGCGCAATCTGTAGAAAGATATTTCAAAATTGTTCTTCAATAAATTGGGTATTAGGCTAAACAGCAGTAAATCTAAAGCTGTTTTATTTTCTAGGTATAGACGCACACTATGTGAGATTGGGTAACAGAGTGAAATAAATATCTTTACTTGGACAATTGATTTTAATTTCTTGTTTTTACATTTTAGCTTGCATATCGGGAAAAAATGATCTGCCGTTTTCTCCAAGATTAATAAAAGATCCCACTTAGTTGTAAATACCAATGTATGACTAATTATTATGCCCATAATAATGTATGCATCTTCAGATCAGATATAAAAAACTGCAAGCATATCCCAATGAAGTTCGTATCTAATTACGGATGATAATAGTAAATAACACCTAATACACCTACAGTGAAGTGTCAGCTGCAATAATATTTATTTGCTTACAATATTTATTGCTTAGTTACTGCGATAATACATAAACTTCTGTGCCAACAATGTTAACGGTTTTTTGCTTTCTAAACAAAACTATCAATAAGTTAAAATTGATTATAGATTGGATTGTAAAGGAAAAGCACTCCATGAAGCTATAAAATATAGGCAAAAACGCTTTGAACACATTAGACGAATGTTTGTGACTATTCGTGTTTTCTGGAATAATGATTATTATATGCATATGTTCACCAAAAAATACAATTTCACATTAACACAGTTGGCATTTTACTGATTTTGTGTAGGT